TATAAAATAATATAATTGGTTGATTATTCAAGTTCCTGAATAATCTTTTGATTATAACTTTTAATTTTCTTACTTGATTTGTTACTCGAATCAACCGACATCTGATTCTTGTCTTAATTTAAGATTTGAGTCTTTAATCATTATTGTATGAAATTGAGAGGGAGTACCTAATGCTCTAGTATTTTTATTACTATTTTAATTATTTAAATCAATTTTCTTTGTTCAATAATTCCCTAAACAAATCAGTTACTTTTAAGTTTGTTTTAGTATTGTGTGATTGTTTTTTTGTTACAATTCCTTGAGGGTTCGACCTCGATTTTTCGAGAATTATATTACTTCGTTAACATGTGCTTGTGTTTACAATATTAAAGTTGAAGCACTCACGCATCATCAGGATGAGCTGGTGTCCCCCCTTCCTCCTTCTCTTGTTCTTCTTTTTCCTTGTTGCCATGATTGCAGATTTTCATCTTAACCACCTCATTTTGCACCCTTCTTTCTCCCTCCATACTCAAACTTTTTACTTTCTTTCAAAACCCAGAAAACCCCCCACATATCCTATTTTAAAATATTACAAACCACACCCCTCAATCTCCATCAATTCAAGGTCAAAGTGGGGCCAAAAGTTTGAACTAAAATGTTAACTAGACCTAAAAATTCAATTTTCATCCCTCCCCAAATGACCTCAAAACTTGATTCCAAGACCATATTTGGAATCTTTGACCCCAAATTAGCTCTCTCCTTACAAAGCTTAAACAAGTTTTAAGAAGAATTACAAATCAAGATTTGAAAGCTTAGGGGGTTTCTTCATCCCACCTTCGCAGACCACGACCACCCTCCCAAATCATTCCCAAATTCCAAGTAGGAACTCTCCAGTATTTTTCTTGAACAAAAGTTTTGAGTGTGGCCTATTTTCCAATAGAAATAATAAAAATTACATAAATTTCGTGTTTGAAGCTTATCTAGGTATCATCATGGTTGCCCCAAACTAGATAGAAGCTTTTCTTCAGGGGCTCCTTCAAGTCAATTTCACAAAGGACTCTGAGATAGCTTCGATGGATGAGGAGGTCTCTTTCAAACTCTTCAAGTTTTATGAGTTCTCTGATAATTTGGCCAATATGCTAGGAAGTATTCTCATACATCATATCTAGAAGAAAGCCCCCAAATTTGAATCCAAAAAGCTGTGGAATGGAAATCATAATCTCTTGGAGTTGTTTGATGCGAGCATTTCTTCAAGACCAAGAGAAACCGCATTGCTGACCATGGCCCCTCATTGAGTATTTTGTTATGATTTTCTTAATCTTTGAACATGAAAATGTACGTATTCCTTTCCCAGTGGATGATTGAGAAACCCTTGGATGTTTTCCACGCACCTATTAGAATGTTGCAAACACCCTATTTATTCAAAGCCTTACCCGAAATAAGTCTTCCCATTAAGCCTGATTGTTGGACCTCTTTCATGGTAGAAGGTTCACAAAGAGTGAGATTAAAAAAAGGGAGCTAATTTGGTTTCAAAGGGTTAGGGTTTACGGGATTTGAGATAGGTTGGGTCTAGCTAATAGTGGTAAGAGAAAGAGGGTTTGAAGGTTGAGTAATTTGTGGGTTTAGAAGTGTTGGAATATGTGGCTAAAATCTCTCGATATTAATTAAGACACAGTTGGTGGTCAAATCCGAAAATTAAAAAACCCTAATCCGTTGGTTAAATATTGCATTATTCATAACATATATCATAGTTGCATTTTTTGTGAAATTAGTATGTATTAAATATTATTTTATAATGGTGTATGCATACATATATATTACATTGATATAATTAGATATTTGAGTTAGATCTTTTCTAATTAGTATGGATGACTTGACTAGAGGAATCCATCAAATAGTGAAAAATTAGTCAATCCTACTTGGAGAATTTTTAACCTTCTTTGACTGTAAAGTGTTGAAGAAATATTGGTGGAATTGAGAAAATATTTGGGGAGTTGAGGATATTATGCTGAGTGGTAACGGGTAGCTAATATATCATCTCTTATAAATAAAATTCTCTGCATACAGAGAGAACACACATGAAAACACCCAATTTGAGAGAAAATTCATTGAGGAAAAATCTCAACTCTACTGCTTTCATATCAAAGAGAATTTTTAATTCTCAAAGACTAGCTCCTAATTCATAAAATTTATCAAGTTCTATTCCCCAAATTTCCTACATGAAGTCCAATGGGCGAGGAGGTAATTATGCATTACCATAGGCCAGAGAGAGACTTTTAGTTACCAATTACTGAGACACCAGCTTAGAGCAGGACTATAGATAGAGTAGGAAGGCTTTAGAGAAAGTAGAAGAGCTCTCATTTTGATAGAATATCTGTAGGATAAATGATAGAAAATGTATTACTCCCACATTCTATTCTTCCATTTTTCCATCTACTCTATCAAACACACTATAAAACTTAAGGCATTAAGTTCATAATTTTGATAAGCTTTTAGAAGTACAAGTAAGAATAACCCTTTAATCCGATATGTAGTTTGTTCAAAAAAGACAGTTACATCAATAGTTGTTAACACAAACAATGGAAACTCAGCAATAAAAGAAACACTAACATTTAGAGGATTCAGTGGCATCAGATGTATATAAGACCTACTTATCTAACAGGTTGAATGTGTCTCGTCATTTAGTAAAATACTTTTAACGTAAAATACTTTAGTTTGTGTACAAAAATATTAAAATATAAGAAATACAACAACAAAAAATGGTCAAAAATAGCAACAGACGTGTAGTTTTGGATCACATTGCTATCATTTTATTTGAATGAGGGTGCAACCCAAATTTTTTCAACCTTTTTCGAAATTTGAAGATATTTCAGGGTGTACAGTGACATTCTCCTTTTAAAATGTAATGAGAGAAACATTGTTCTAGGAGAAAACAATGATTTGCAGTACCTTTATAATCCTCAGAATCTCCATCATTCTTGATGCTCTGAAACAGCAACACAATTTAAAAATGGGAATCGACTGTTACTCGTAATTTTGGATTATTTAGAGGCATCGGGCCGAAAAGGATAGTTTTTATCCACTTCACTGTCTTTATGTGCTAGTGCTGGTGCTAGTGCTAGTACTAGTGCTGTATTTAGCCTCCTCTTGATTTGGAAGTTAAACAAATAATAACAAGAACAAAGTACACTCACAGTCAAATTGTTCATTGATATTCCAAAAACATGCCCTTATTCTTTGTAACACTATGATGATATTCGAGTTGTAATGACACTAGTTTTAACATGTTTACCTCAAAGTGTTGCAAATGAGATCTACCAAATGCTCTTGCATTGTCAAATTAAACACACTCAACCTTGTTTACACACACTCTCTCTTTGTCTCTATCTATCTTTCTTGATTCTTCTTCTTCTTCTTCTATCTCTTTCACACACTCCAACATTCACTCATTGTCAGGGCCACTTTCGCATTTGTTAGTGCTATTGACCACCATCCACAACACCGACCTCCACAACCATATCCAAACACATAAAACCCAACCCAAATTGCTTCCGATTTGTATCACTAATGCTTGCGTGATTGTTGATCTTTGCCACTAGTCAAGCCATTTGGGATGGGAGGGGAGGGGGAGAGGAAGCCCTTCCTTTTTGTAGTTCTTGGACTACCCCTCACTTTGCCTATGTTTGTTTGTTCATACCATTGACTACGTGCCAATTTCGAGATCCATGATGAGGGATTGTCTGAATTTTGATTTAATTTTTGATGAATTTTAATGCCACAATTTTTTCTTTAATATTTGATGAATTATGATTTGATTTTTTGTTATAAAATAGATGTGTAGTAAAATTAGATATAATAAAATTAGGAATGTGTATATTTGTGTTCTTAATAGTTGACAAATAGAGGGTTACCCCCATTGAATATAAACCCTTTTCCCATGTAAATTTAGAGACTATAATGATAAGATTTGCAAATTTAACTATAATATAAGGGATGTGGGAATAGTTTTCCATTTAGTTATTCAAGCTGAGCTTATGTTAGCCAAAATTAATTAAAAGAAAAAAGGTTAATTTTCCATATGGTTTCGACTAAAAATATCTTACCTACTTATTGTTTAAAATTATACACATTACCCTCATATAATTATATATCAAAGTGAAGTAATTGACGTTGTTCACGAAATAAAAAATTGTCATAATACACACTTTAAAATACGATTGACCATAAAATTAATAGAATATAACAACAAACTAGCACATTTCAATCAAATATGTTGAGTTTCTTTTTCCCTCAAGTAAAATTTTGATTTAGGGTTGAAAATTATTTATGTTTTTCTTACATGTTTTTTGATTTGAGACTAATGTCCTATCTATTTAAGTATTATATCATATATTATAAAGAGTTTTTTAGATAATGTTCCTTTGGGAGAAAAATAATAGAAATAAAATCCACAGCATGTTTTGGGTGTGTAGAACCCATTCTCCATTGGTAAAAATAACACTTTCATTTTAGTACATAACTGCAAAAGATAATAGGTATAACTTTATTAGATAAAGTATTTCTAGTTGAAACAAAAAAGTGAAAAAAAATAATTAATCCCAAAAAAAAATACAGTTAATAAATAGAGCCAAGGCAGGCAACTCACTATTTGCTTGAGTTGACTCGATGAGTAGGTGTCCTCCAGAATAAAAGCATACCGAACTTGGGGAATTGATTGCAAGTAACACAGAACAAGGAAGAGAAAGGCGAAAGAAAAAGCAAACGAAATTTCCGGAAAGTAAAAAGATCAAAAACCATAAGCCAAGAAAGAACATACACAAAGTTCCATACTTTTTCTTGGGCCATATCGGAAACATATTTCTACCATATTTTCTCGAGAAACTAACAAGTTTCTAAGCTCTTCCCACCTTGGTTCCTAATTCTGTTCGTATCTATCACCCATTTATGTACGAACAAAGTTTGTGTTGTTTGTCATTTTATCTGTCCTTGTTTTGAGAAATTTAGAGAGAATACAGAGAAAGATGATGATGATACCATCGTCTGCCTCTTCATCGTCTTCTTCAGCTACGGTACGAGTGGAGAAGGCGACGAGCGAGTTTTTAATCGGACCAGATTGGACTATGAACATCGATATTTGTGATACCATCAATACCAATAACTGGTACCAATCTAATAAACTCATACCCTTTCAGTTCTCATAAAAAAAGTTGACGTTTCTATCTGGGTTTATTTTAAATTGTGTTTTACATGCTGCGATTTCTATTATATGTGTATGTGTCTGTATGTATGTATGTATGCATGTATTTGTGTGTGGGTGTGATATGAGATGGGTAAATTCCGGGATTTGGTGTGTATGAAGGGAGGAAAATGCTTTCTTTTTTTTGAGATTATATGAAGCAAAATCTTTAATAACTTGAGTGTGCTAAAAAGTTCAATAGTACATGGTGAATTTTTTTTTTAATTTTTTAATTTTTTGATGTATTATTTGTTAGGTTACTTGGAATTCTAGTATCTTTACAATGAGAGTTTTCGAATCCAATCCTTGAATTTTTTATCCTTTAATTTTCTTTTCGCAGTGGTGACGTATTAGGACTTGTAGAGTTCTTCTCGTTTTGTTACCTAACAATATAGTGAAAGAGGAGAGAACATAGAGAGGGAGGAGGGGGTTGGAAGGTGTTGAATTTTTCTGTAGGGTTTGATTGATTTCTAATACTCAATTGACTTATTTCGTTTGCTATATGTTTGAACTTTATTTTCTATTATATGTCGTGTGTGCGTGTTTTTTTTTTTTTTTGGAGGGGGGGGGGGTAAGTATTTTCTATGTTATGTTAGTATGCAAACAGTAGAATAAATATCATCATGAGTTTTGATGATCATGTGTTAAATTTCTCAGGCTAGCAAAAGATGTTGTCAAAGCTGTGAAGAAAAGGTTGCAGCATAAGAACCCTGAAGTTCAACTACTTGCCTTGACGGTATTTTTTTTGGAACTGGTGCCTCAGTATATTTTTGTTATATTTGTAGGGTTTAATCATGTGAATAGGTCCGACCTGAGATTGAAATATTTTGTTGGCGGACACTTCATCTGTACCATTATCTCATGCTTTGAGTTGATTCTAGTTTGAAGGCTGTGTTAGTATTTTTCCTCAAGTCCACTAATTATGTGCAATAATGGTGTGCCCTATATATTGATTAGCTTCTGGAGACAATGGTGAAGAACTGTGGTGATTATGTGCATTCTCAAATTGCTGAGAGGAATATACTGCAAGATATGATCAAAATTGTTAAGAAAAAGGTAAGTCGTCCTTATATATTGATTTGATTATGTGCTGGGCATTCTTATTCACTTCACTTGTTTCACAGTTTTAGTGTAATGTTTAGTTCCATTTTGTTATCTATGGTTTTCTGATTCTTCTGTTTATATATACACCATGTTCTTCTTTATATTTAAGATTTTGAGTGTGAGTACTTGTTGCGTGCTAAAATTGTTGCTACATTCATGTCAACACAGTAGATGACCCCCTCAAGTTCGTGCAAGTAGTGGCTTGTCTCAACTTGGGATGGGACAAAGATATCATTCTGTGCTAAATAGTGAAAGTATTAGTACAAAATGATGGTATGGAGTTCTCCTGATAGGTTGGAGGTTAGAGTGTGCACTTTTGACCTCCATCTCCTTCCAACTAAGAACCGCGGTTAGAGATCTGGGCACTCTATAAATAATTATGTTTTATATATGTGATATATGTAATTTATCAGTATATGTAAAAATTATCACACAATTATAAAACAAAAGAAAATCAGTACTTTTTTAAGTAAGTCTTGTGTCTAACCCTCTTATGAATTTTTCGACAAATGCATCATAGTAGTCAATATTCATGCATTTTTTCACAGACAAAGTGTAGCAAATATATGACATTAATGGTTATGAATGTTTTTCTTATCTAGTCAATTTAAGTGAAACTTTAACATGATTAATCTGCATACAAACTGAAAGCCACATAATCCCCTTGCAGCTTTGCCTGCCACCCTCGGTGGTATATTAGGATAAATAGCAAAGGCACCTTTGACCTTTTGCTTAGTAAACCCCTCTTTGAGCCTCTACTGAAGTTTGTTATCCCCAGTCTTCTGTAGCGTTTACAAAGTGAGCCTCTGGATGTTGTGACACTTGGTTAGGCTTGGTTGACTTTGTCAACAACTGAAGCAAGACGTTGACAAAGGAGAACAGCCCGCCCCTGCTGTTTGACTGGGAACCACCCAATCATTTATACAACTTCCAACTAAGCACCTGCAACCATGTTTAAGAAGGGGTGGCACCGTCACATTGCCCAGCTCTGCCAACCAAACTGGTAGGATAAGGTTGTCCTTGGATATATTCAGTAATAAATTACTTTGGGCCCAGTGAAGTGGGCTTTGATGAGAAAATTATCACTTCTTTTGTAATTATCCTGTGTCTGATGGCTCGACTAAAACCGTTTCAAAGGGATAATTGAAGATTCTCTGTCCAGCTACATCTTGGCAAAGTAAATCATTATTGAGCTTATATACAATGTGGAATTATGACGAGTTCGGTTTGTACTTACCTGGTGTGCCTTATCATATAGCAAGATGTTGCTATTATCTAATGCAATGATTTTATCATTAGCCTCATCTTTATCTCTATCTGTTTGTGGATTGTGTTAAGGTTCTTTCTCATTATCCTCTATTCAGTGGATCTGGTGTTAATTATCTTCTAGCAACAACCTTTTTCTGTTGTAGTTCTGTTACATGTCGCTGAATGTTTTCTTAGCAAGTAATGATGACCATTTTAACTTTTCTGCTGTTGCTTTTTTGTTATGTTACAAGTTCAATAACCTAACTAGCTGTTGCTAAGCACTTCTACATTACCTTCAATCACAAAAATTTGGGGCACTTTTGCAGACAGGTATGCATGTAAGGAACAAAATCTTGGCAATGCTAGACTCTTGGCAAGAAGCTTTCGGTGGCCCTGGAGGAAAACATCCACAATACTACTGGGCTTATGATGAACTGAGGGTAAGCATACATTTGATATGGTGCAACTCCTTTTGTTCAACATGCATGTTGCTTGCTTGTGTTGACAGTAACATTTTTTCCTTGTTCAGTAATGGATGGACTTCTTTCCATCTCATAATATAATGAGCTTATAGGTTCCCGAAATCATACTTGTTGAATAGTGGGCTACGGTCTTCTGTTGATATTTGGGTACTTGTGCACAATAAATCCCTCACTTAAAATATTGCGATTCAAGTCACAAAAGAATATTTTTGAAATTTGACGAGTCAATAGGTCATGCAGCTTTATCTATTATCATTTGCAATATAGTAATGTGAGCCGACTCTCCGATATGCTACATTTTGCATCTGTCCATGTTACATTTAGGAAGTCATGTATCAATTTTTAAATACAAGATCCATGATAATTGGCAGGCAAGACTTTTTTCTTCCCCCTTCCCCCTTCTTTTTGTAATAACTGTTAGTCTCTCAATTCATGCCAGCGTTCTGGAGTAGAATTTCCCCAGCATTCATCAGATGTAACTCCAATATTTACGCCACCTGTTACCCACTCCACTCTCAGACATGCTCAAGCAGGTTATGGAATGCCATGCAATTCATCAACAAGGCTTGATGAAGCCATGGCAGCTGACATGGAAAATTTAAGGTGACGATTCGACTTTGTTTTGAACACGCTTTTTTCTGTCTTATTCATGTCCCACTATAACTTGTGATTTATTTTCTTTTTCTCATCCTCCTAGTTTATCAAGCATTAATTCCATGCGAAATGTTCTGGATCTCTTAGCTGACATGCTGCAAGCTGTGACTCCAAGTGACCGTATGGTATGTGCATTTTGGTCTTCTAATCTATCATCTTGCTAAGATACTACTGAAAATATTGCATGTTTTCATTTTGTTTGTAGGCTGTAAAAGATGAAATAATCATCGATCTTGTTGACCAGTGTTGTGCCAACCAGAAGAAGCTGATGCAGATGTTAACTACAACTGCGTATGTTCTCATCCTCTATCTTTTATTCTTGATTCGCTGCACCAAATATTCAGCAATCGTATTTCTTTTTTTCATTTCACTACAATTCTAGGATAGCAGCCTCAGTAAGTTTGTTCATGCACATGTATGTCGTGGACTTCTCAGTAGTTTGCTCTATTCTGTGGCAGAGATGAAGAACTTCTTGGTCAAGGTCTTGAATTAAATGATAAGCTGCAAAGTGTGCTCGCAAAACATGATGCTATAGCTTCTGGTTCCCCGCTGCCAAGGCAAGTAACAAATTTAAACCCCCGGTCAACTGAAGTACAGGACTCCCCCATTAAACCTACTGAAGTTACCAGCCCGCCACTGAATGCTAATCTCTCTGCACCAGTTCTTGCTTTGACGACTAGCCAGATTGAGGAAGAGGATGAGGAGGAAGATGATTTTGCACAGCTAGCTCGAAGGTTGCTTTTGACTTACAAGTTCTTTTTTATACATTCCTGCAGTTATCATTTAAATTTCACCTCTATGAGTACTAAGTTGCAGCAGACGGCGGCGTGACACTATGGTCTTATACTGATGATGATCCGGTCACTTCGCTGTTCTGTAGCTGTCTACATTTTAGTGGATATATGTGGATGATTATCTACGATTGGTATATTACTAAAGACAAATTTATTAAAATAATGGAGCAGTTCAAAGTTGGTTGTATCCTTTGCCTGGGACACCATGTTATTATTTAGAGTTTATGTGGTGGAATCATTGTTGTACGCCCTGTACTCTGGTTCATAATAGACATTTTGTTTCATGGGTGCAGGCATTCCAAAACACGGTCCAGTACTTCTCAAAGCACATTTACAGGAACCAGTGAAGGAGCTACCTCAGTGAACACTAGCAACAATGCGACGTCTATATCAGCACCCTCAGCCCCAATGCTGAGCAATGCATTAGCTCTGCCAGATCCTCCTGCACCTGTTAGGACCACGAAAGAACAAGATATAATTGACCTTTTGAGTATCACCTTATCGACAACTACTGCCTCTCCTCACACCCCACAAACTCCTGCAGACTTCACACAAAGCATGTATCGGCCACCTGTTTCTCCCACCACGCGAGGGTCTCCTAATACCTCCCAGATTAATCCTCGATTCCCAGGGCTTGTAGGTTCGAACGGGTATGTTGTTCCCTGGGCCCAGCCTCGGAGTCAACCTCAACCCCAACCAGAAGCTCAAACACAATTGCAATCACAGCGTCAACCACATCATCCCCAATATTCATCTGGCTACCCACCTCCACCATGGGCAGCAACTCCATGTTACTTCAGCAACCAGAATGTCTTATCCACAAATCCTTATGCATATCCTACTCCACAAGACACAACTACATCACACATGCCTTTGCAAGGGGCCAGGCCCTTGCAGCAAGTCAACTCGTTCCCTGCAAGAGGAAGCAATGAGTCAGCTATCAATGGAGATGGATGGGTGAGCTCCAGCCCTAGGATCAGTGCCCCTGCAGCAGGACCCAAACCCTTCATTCCATCGTACAGATTATTTGAAGATCTTAACGTTCTTGGCAATGGGGATGGAAAGTTTAAAATGGCAAGCAATATGTCTCCAAGCTTATCGGGAACTAACAGCCAAAGTATGGTGGGTGGAAGGAAGTGAATTTTGCTTCAACATTGCTTGTTTCTCCGCGTGTACTGAAATTTCATGCAGGGAGAGAGACAAAAGTTGGGGGGGGGGGGGGGGGGGTTGATTCTGATTCATGTCAATATGCTGTATATCAGTTTTTTTTCTTCCTTTTGCGTGCATTCATCATAAGCTTGGCATCATCATTTGTGTAGTCCATGCTATTATTTTGTCTTCAAATCTAAATACATCAAAATCCACTCATTAGTTGGGTTTTGACTCCTTGTGTTGTCACATTCTGTATTGGAATCTTTTGAGTTTACTTGCAACTGGTAAATGATATTTCTGTGCCAATAATGAATGAGATTTATTGATGTCTGTTGTCTCTCTTCATTCTTGGCTTTTTGCTGCTTACGTTTGAATCTGCTCGTTTTACCCGAGCGTAAAGCTACATTGTTGTTTCTCATGAATCCACAGGCAGGCAGTGTGGCCGAGTTTAATGCGTGTTATGATATGCTGCAGTATATGAACCTTGTATTACTCCTCCCACATTGCCCCCATTCTGACGTCGAGTGCCAGCAACTTTCTTCCAGAATGTCGATCACAATTTCCTGAAAGACATCAGGGTAAATTGTAAACACTGGCCTAACCTGATCAGAGGTTACCAAAAAAAAAACCACCTTGCCCTATGATTGCTCTAGAAAGAGAATGGTGTCGTTTTAACCGACGACTAATCTGACAAACTAGAATATTAATTTCGAAACAAAACAGACTGCCAGAGTTAATATCAACAAGGTAAGATACTCGTTATCTCCAAATTGTAACCAAAATCTGCTGTACGAATTCAAAACAAGATATTGAGGCCAGGTTGTGCTCCTTTTATTGTTCAGATATCATAAACCATGGCCACTGGGAAAAAAAAATGGCAACACTTAAATTATATTAATGAAAGACTAGCTGTTTTGACAAAACCAAACATGAAAATATGAAATAACACACATTGACAAAGGAAACAACAGCCACAAAAAAAAATAAAAAAAAAAAAAGGAATTGCAACTATTTACACCTTTTTTTAACCTATGCAAAGACATTATTTGCCAAAGCCTCCAAGGAACGTGTGGAATTCATCCCATCTTGTGTGACCCTCTACACTGGAGGCTTAACGAATATATACCATACAACTTCCATATAGTTTGCCCAACCTGTAATTGTGGACACTTCTGTCGCAGAGAGGAACTTGAACTGCAGAGTCTATCAAACTTGATTGATTTGCATCCACAGTATCATTTTGGAGAAGATGCAATGCGAGTTCAGGAATTCCTCCTACTTCCAGACAAGAAGCTTTCAGACAGACAACAATGTGCAATCATCTAGGTGGAGAGATCTCATCAGCATAGATAGAGACACAAGCATCTGCAGCACCAGCAGCAAGCCGTACTTGATAAGGATGGAAGGTAAGGCAGCTTACAGAACCTATCTTTTGGGCCATGAAGGTTGGGTAGTATCGAATGGTGCCTAATTGTTCGCCCTCAAGGTTGAAGACTTTGATTAGCTGTTTCGCTGAGCCACTGGCAACAAGGGGTGCATGTCGGTGAACAGCTAAAGCTGTAAGAGAGCCTCTGTGAGCATCAATTGTAAGGTAGGCATCCCTGTGATGTCTGATGTCAAGGAACTGAATGTCACCAGCCTGAGATGCACTGACAATCTGAAAACAAACAAGTAGTCAATCAAACACATGCCTAAATCATTAGTTTGACATGTAATCCACAATTGCAACCATTGGAAGACTAGGAAAAATATGAACTTCTCACCTAAAAGAACGTAATACAGAAGTGTTTTATTTTACCTTTGCTGGTTCAAGTCCAGGTTGAAAGCCAATCCCAACAACTTTTTGTATGATTTGGGTGTGCGGTCGTGTTGTACACACAAGCCTGAATCGCAACCAATGATTGAATGAATATATATATATATATATAGAGAGAGAGAGAGAGAGAGAATTTTCAAGAATTATGAAGGTTATTCCGTTTCCTAGAAGCACTCGATGATGACTTTGTTGAAATTAGGAGCCTCCTCCATCCAAATTGAAACATTATATACAACTCTGGCTTACACACCAAAGAGAGGGCAACACCATTTCCAGACCTCTTAAGAAAAGATGCATGATAATTTATAAGAGCGGATGCTGATTCTTTAAAATAAGCTGAACAGGAAGTCTAACAAACCAATCAAAAAGATTGCATGCACCTAATAATGATAAATTTCAGTAACTATAAAATAACTGGTTGGATGGTAATGATTAATTTTGAATAAGGATTCCTCACATTTCAATGCCTGACACTAGGAAAATCCCCAGGGAAAATCCTACATATTGCCACAAAAAAGGGCGAAAGCGTTGCCTTGTTGATCCTTGGCAAGAATTGGTTCACTCATCACAGGCACATTTTTTTAGCAGAGAATATTCAACAAGTGCTTACATATCAGGCGTTCGAATGTCAAATAGCCTGACAGAACCATCCATAAAGCCTGCTGCAAACTGACCACCATGAACTTGAGAAGCAGACTACAAGCATATTAAAAGTAGCCATCAGTTATATTGAAAAATTGACATCAACAGGAACAGTCAAGAGAAGATAGCATACAACTAGTACTTAATGTGGCAACATAAATTTGTAACCGAAAAAAGAAAAAAACCAACAGCCCAATTAGACAGCCAACATTTTGCTATGGCATGATGATACATGACACCCACCAAAGTATGGGAAGTCGTACTTAACATTGCTGAAACGCATGCCAGAAACCATGCCGATACTTTTCATCGGAGCGACCTGATTGATGAGATAAAAGTTCAAGTAATCTTGACCCCCATGCTTCTCAGGGTAATGTTCTCAGAGGACAATGATGGCCAAAGCAAAATTTAAAAAAATGATCACAAGTCTATTACGATATTTTATTACAAGTCAAATATAAAATGATGACGAGAAGTTTAATATAATATGGTTGACACATAAATCTTAGACACTAAAAAGCCCCAATCTCAGCCATACATCATAGCTTAAGGTAAAGAAAAGAGACAGCGGCATAAAACCCTTAATAATGAAAACTCAAATAGTTCCAGATTTAAAGTTCCTATAGTCAATATATTTTTGTTTGTTTGAACACCACTGTAAACAATTAATTTTATCTTGTACAGCCAAATTTCTTACCAGTACATTCATTTTTTTTTCTTCTTTTTTTTGTCTGGAATAATTTGGTTAAGAAAAATCAAAATTCCCAGAGTCATGATGATGGTTTTTGTAGTCACCCAACCAAGATACAAGTCCCAACAGGAAAATTAAATGGGAAAACCAAGTTAAATAAATAATAATGGCAATAAATCAACAACATAATGATATGATGAAGGCCAAAGATGAAGCAAAACACACCAAAGCTGAAATGCTGCAATCTGACGATGTGGGGACAGTATTAACAAGTTGCTCTTTATCCAGATCCCAAACCATAACTGAGGAAATTTCACCTGAAGTAAACTGGTTGTAGCACCATTACTGAGATGTTAGTGTACAGACAAACTTGTTTACATAGAATTATGCATAGATATTCTACATAAACTGGTCGCAGCACCATTACTGAGATGTTAGTGTACACACAAACTTGTTTATATAGAATTATGCATAGATATTCTACATACATATACAGTGAATATAACATCATAGAGTACGAATATACCAGATAACTGGACTGCTGCTGCCAATCCACAACAGCATTCACACTACGCACACCAGGTCTATGACCTTGGATTGACGTAAATGCAGTGACCAGCTTCTGTTTACCCTTTATAGTGTAATCTTTCCATATGCGGACATTACCATCACCTACGCCAAAAAACCACAGCACAAACAGGATTAGTTAAAGTATCTTCAAAGTCAACTGGTCAATCACTGCAGTAAGGGACTTACTTGAAGCAACAAGAAGCAAGCTGTCATCAAGCTCGTTCACGAGGCAAAGCTTTGACACTCCTCTGTCCGGATAATTATGGTTTTCAAAACTATTGAGCAGGATAGCTTCTTCATAATTCCACACCCTAGAAAGATACAAGCATCAAGCAACAGAAACATAATGCAAAGTAAGAAAGGAAGTGGAATGAGACCGAACAAAGGACTCTGACTAAAGTTTAAAAAAACAAAATTTGCACATCCAATTTCATGCAGAAGAGCCTCTAATACCTCTAATATCTAACCATATAGGAGTGGGACTCGTGACCCCAGGAAAAGTACTCAATTTACATTTCGATGCTGCTAATTACAATGTCTCTCTTACATGGTCAATGCTGTGACATACAATAGTGGTCACAAAGCGGAGAATAATGAGAAGCATATAGAAGACACAGGAAGCCCACAAACTTCAAATAATTCACGACATTACTTGGGATAAAACACTAATCTCCTAGTTAGTTGCATTTGGTAGGGATTGTTCTGGAACATCTCACATCTTACTTTCAGAATACTCATTTAGTGATCTAAAATATCTTTACTCAAATCTCTCCAGAACTCATATTTTTGTTGTAGAATCATACAAATTGAATTGAAATCTAACAAGACACATATTCTCAGTTGAAAACACCCCTTTAACCTTTATTGAGATTATAGAGTGCTTTTTAAATATTCAGATAATGTTTTTCAAATCATTTTCTTCCACACTTCTTCTCTGTTGCTCTAAATTTCTAGCCTCTGTGAATGAAACCCTCTCATTTAAAACTTGGCAATGTAAATAGTGGAAAGGTACATTCTTAGATAATTCAAAGTGTTCTACATTTCAATGGGTTCACAACCATCGTATATATGACGGACCTGAAGTATTTTAACTGCCTTACTTACAGATAGAAGTCCATGCATAGTGCACAACATTTTACAATAAGTGGTGCACCAGGTTCTCATACCCGTTCCAGGAAAAATTTCAATTGCAACTAAAAGGAAAAAGGAGACAATGCTGCATTTGGAACAGTTAAACTTCCAAACAGCTCCTTCCCCACATCCAAAGCATGACACAGCAGCAAGCCTCCCAACTTCAAATTGAGAACATGCATTGAAACTGTTGCCGCAACTCAGGTCTCCCTCTCAGAGACACCCAATTGGTCAATTGGAAGAGGAAATTCTAGGGGAAAAACCTCAGGTACACAAGAGTGGTCAACAAGCAGCACAAACAAACAGGCTGAGTCTCTTCCATTCAATAAAACAGCGATTTGTGGAATGTTCAACTAAAAGCCTCGAAAAGAAAGGCAGCATAGCTCTCCTACTAAAGCAACATATGCAATTTAGGTTAAGAAATGAGAAAGGAATTAGTTCCCACCCTGAACCAACAAAAAAGCCCAGGCTTTAGAAGGCTGTCCCCAAACCATCCCCTATCCCAACTAAAGGGAGGCACAAACAGGTAAAACAAGTAGCCCTCTCTGTTGCAACCTTCTAAATTTTATCATATCTCCCCTTCGCCGTGAAATTAATTGTTTCAATCGCAGTCATGGTTTCCATTCAAATTTGATCCTAACTATGACCAAATATTGCAACTGACTTCTCAAATTTGTTGCTTGATCAAGTTTCTCAACTTTTATTCTTATATTAAATCCCTAAAATACTTCTGATCAAAAACGTTTTCTTAGACTTTCTGTTTTTACTTTGAAGCACCCATCTGAAATTGATTACTTCCTTCAGGTGCAGCAGATTCCATGGAAAGCCAAGATTTCAACATAAATCCATCATTGTGTAAAACCAAGACCTATGGGCTCCGCCATTTTGCAATCACGACAACATACTGCATCATATTTTTGAGGACAAAATGAGTGTGCTGCAACAAAATTCTAAAGGGGGAGGGAATAGGCTACCTGATCCGTTCACTCTCATCTGCAGCAATCACGACTGGGAAGAAGGGATGCAGCAACGTCGTTTTTGTACCTGTCTCAAATTTTGTATCCCAACTTGCAATTTGATTATGTAGCTTGCTAACGGCTGACAAAGAAATAAAAAAGCAAACATAAAATAAGTTATCAAAGGAAAGATCAGGAAGCTAGTAAAACAAAGAACTGAAGACCCATAAGTTATGAGGACCGACTTGAGTGCTGGCATTTTGAAATGTAGTCCAGGGCCAATTTTTCCCTCTCTTCTCTTCTAGCCATTATTTCTTCGCTATCATCTGGAGTAAGAAGTGGCTTTGAGAAGTGACCACAACTCCAATTGTAAATTGTTGATTGTGGAAGAAAACTGCGCTCTGAAACCCCAGAAGATCCACCAGAATTTAAAAGAGGATCAGCTAAACCCGAGTCTGGAGAGTTTATTAGGTGTGGTGGTCTGAACTCCAAAGAACAAACTCTTCGCATTCCTGTTATGTAACTTGGCCGAGGAGGACTAACTGGAGGAGTCCTAAATGTCAGAGGCAAATGTCCTGCTAAAACAGCTCGAAATTGAGCAATGCATGATCCCAAAAAATAAAAACACTTGAGAACAATTAGAAGCTGTAAATAACATCATAGTCAAAAAGTGGAAGTTGCAATTATGGTAATACAGTGAATTAAAGATAGAGAACAGCAATTAAGTTATGCAAGCAGGACAATATCAACAACCATTACCTCCATTCATGTCAAACCAAGAAGATGATCGAGCCAGGCCAGTTGGGGTGCTTGTGAATTCACTAGGCCTAAAACTGTAGCCAGTAGACTTAACCGATTTTGCCACTACTTGTTCAATCCCAATAATGGATAGTACACGTCGCCCAAGGCTTGCGATGCGTGGTGATGGATCCTTGGCTAGAGCACACATAGCTGATACACACTGTGTATACAATGCATTGTCTAATGGTCTTGGCCCCGAATGGTTAACAATCCCGTTGCTAACACAATCATTCAATATGCCAGAATCAGAATGTTGAGATGAATCATCAGACAGTGGAGATCCATGCATTATTCCAGTAGTAAGAGGACTGCTGGTGGAGACCCTCCCATCACGGACCACTGATGGGGCATCACCTCCAACTCTCAACAGAGGAGCAATTTGTGAAGGAACTATACTTCCTTGTGCCATGTATGGATTTGGTGTAGCATAACCACTGCCAGTTCCCTTGATGGAGAACGAAGGCAAGGAAGTCAGCACAGAGTTAGGTGGAGGCTTCCAGCATGCTGCGGCGATTGACTTCAGGTGCTTCTTGTGACCAAAGGAGAAGCGTGCTAGAGCTGTCAAAGAAAATAAATAATAATTTATAACCCCGACAAAAGTTGCAGACCTTCTTTTCCTCAGTCCTGAGGGATTTGATCCTACAAGAGAGAGAGAGAGAGAGAGAGAGAGACTCTCGGATGCTACTTGAAGCCACCCGACTAGGCCCATGCTAGTTGCAGACCTCACTCATCAATAATCTACACACATCTATGAACATTAAGCTTGTGTGAAAGGCTCCACGATCCGAATACCACATTACATATGACGGCAATTATGTGGGCAAAATAAATGCATTAATTCATGTCTATAATTCATGTGTCACCAATATTCAGTGTTTAAGAGGGAACACATTAAAACACTTCTTTAGTCACCCACATAATACCAACAATAAAAAATACTAACAGCCCATCCACTTTGCGTAAGCAATGAACATTTCTAGTGCATGAAATGGTCATCCAAGACACAAATCATGAGTCACCACATACCTGCAGCAACCTCAGCCCGGACCAACGGACTTCCATCAGAAACAACATTTAAAAGGCTCTTAACAATATTAATTTCAGCCCTAACTTTTTCATCATCATCAGACTCTTCATCTCCTCCAACACCATCCCTCGACGAGTCAAATCCAACATCAAGCAGGGTGCCCAGTGCAAAAACAGCCGAAGCTCTAACCTGAAATAAAGTACTTACTGAAATAAAGGGTATGTATAGATTAAATCCAAGAACTCAAAAGGCATGCATCTATTGAAAAAAGTACATGATTACAAAGAAACAAGGAAAACCTCCGGTTGGGGCTCAGAGAGTAGAGGAGCATATATAGCAGGGGCATCAGCCTGTATACCCATGATCTGTGCTTCCATAAAATCCTCCCACAACTTTCCAAGGCACAGACAAAGCCATTGAAGAAATAAAGGTTCAGCTTGTGCTTCATTTGAAGCTGAACCCTGAAGGTGCTTCAGACACACATGTATAAGACCAGCTTCAATACAAGCTTCCTGACCCCGTCTGTGCCCATCTACAATGACTGCCAAAACAAATGCAGCCATTGCCCGCTGTTCTGGATAAGCTTCCATGCTATCGAGAAACCTAATAAAATATGTGTGCCCACCATCCTTTACCAAATCAACCTGGCATGACTATAACCACACAAAGCAAGACTTTAATAAAATCAATGCCAGGGAAAGGAAGGAATTAAGCATAAGAAAAAGCCTAGAACACCTTAGATACAATGAACTTCCATGAAATGGTTACACAGGATTCAGCCATAAAGTCGCATAGCCAAGTAAGTATACCTTATCAAGTGCAAGAATTTTTGTCCATATAAAAACAAGAATTTGCCGAAGCTCTGGAGTAATTGTTTGCAACAGCTTTAGAACATAAGGAAATATTCCTACAGACAAGGCCTACAAGAAAATAATACCCATTTCAAATATGTTATAAATGGCATTCCATGGACACTATGTAACCAGACCAAAACAATGACATGCAACAGCAAAGCCAAGAATAAATACCAGATCTACAGCCCACTGCCCCATATCGAGAAATCTTCCGAGAAGCACCAGAGCACGAAAACGATGGCATTGACTAAGTAAAACCTAAGAAAGAAGCCCAAAATTAGAAGAACAAAATTATCACAAGGACCAACCATGGTGAAGTGTTCAAAGGGAATTGGGGCTGTGGTTCTTTTTTTTTTTTTTTTGTAAAGAAGCTAATTATGGTAAAACAGAAGCAAATCTAAAATCTACTCAGTGGGATTTAAGTGAGCCCATATCCTTCCTTCAAGATTCTAATGATAACCATAGCAATGCAACCATTTGAAGATGAGAAGGATTTGTTGGAAAGAATTTGGTTCTTGACTTCCTTTAGGGTTTCGGTTTTTTCTCATTTTTTTGGAACTTTTTTTATTTTTTTATATCGGAGTAGATTAGAGATCCATTTGTGAGAAGCAATCTATTTTTTCCTCTTATGTCACTTTGTTAATATCCTTTTTGTCATCTTTTGGAGGACCTCTTGTTCTTCATGTATGGAATTTTTGTTTTTAATATAGTTTCTTTATTGCAACACAACCAACAATATTGCTGCTGCAAAGGATGTCTACTCAAGAGCCTAGCCTTTACTAAATGTTGGAATTATCACCACCTTCATTATCACCACCCACTCAATCACCACAATCAGTATAAACATTTCCACCAATCTATCATCCTGTAATGAATTTTCCACTTTAATGGATTAACAAAACACTGGTTGTTCCAAATCTTAACAAGAACAATGAATACAAACCATCTGCCATAAGCTAACCATTCGAAGCAATATCATAAAAACTGAATTTTGACCATGGCAAAATGCACTTTCCACTGATCACCGCCAATAATTGTGATCAGAAAGATCCAGGTTGTAGGTCATTTATCTTCAATTATATTTAGGAGACTAGAATCTTCAAAAGAGACTCTCCTACAAACATATGGACCTGAACAAATCAAATTCCCATAGCATGCCTTGAACCGAATAGTGAGTAACAATGAAATCATAAGGGCCAATTTATGGTAATAAATACCAAATATCTTTCCCCGACCATTTTCATTAAAAAATTAAAGAATCAGGACTCATATATAGATACAGAAATCATCATCTAAATTCCAGAAAATTTACTAAAAACCACCATAATCTGGAAGGAATAACCAAACCCACAATTTATAAGTACTATGACAAGACCCACCACACCTGAAGAACAATGGGCAACTGCTCTGGTGGTTTTTTATGCTCCGATCCATGATCAAGCCACATCTCAAAAGCAGTCAGCTGCTCCGTAAAAAAAAGACTTGGCTGAAACAAAACAAAGATAACTTTGTACTGAGATGAATCTATCACAAACTATAGCACGCTTAAACAGCACATCCATGGATGTTCTAGATGATTGTGTCAACCTCTAAACTTACCATAATAAAGAAGACATTAAACAAAACACACCTGGAACTCTGCATTGGGATCATCAACCAAAGTTGGAAGCTGAGAAAGGCAGATTTCAGCAGCCATGTCCCATGCATCCCTACAGGGAATGGGGTAACACAGGTTGAGGAAAAAGTAAATGAATATCAGACTAATCTAGACAAGTATCCCCAGTAGCTACCACATATGATGCTGATGGGTGGGCGGCAACATTGGATATGAAATTGGTGAACAATTTGCAGAACGCATAATTCTCTCAGCTAGTAAAAAATTTCGGAACAGACTGGCAACTAACAAATCTTGCCGGAACAATCTCTGAAAAAGATCTGCAGAACACAACATTGAATAAATACTCTGCAAAAGAGAAATCAATGTGTGACACAAACCATAAGAACTGCATGATGGAAAGCATCTTTCTTTCAGTACCATGTGGGAGAACATTCCAGGCAATTGTATCGGTCACAGCTGTGAAAATCCAGTTCAATTCTCCAAGAAGAGTTTTTCGGTCAGTTTGGCGGCCAGGAATTCTATCTATAAGGGAATAATCAAGCGACTCACGAAGTAATGACCGAGTGCAGAACCTGGAAAACAGAACATGATACTCAGAAAATAAGCAGGCCCAATCAATCCATTCACGTTTGGTATTCACAAGATGACAAAAACACACCATAAGCAAGCAGCCAACCAACAGAACCATTAATGCATTAATTTCACATAATGTTGGAAACTCCAGCAGCAATTCTAAAGAGAAAACAAAGTATGAGAAACTTCAAAACTAAAATCTAACAAGATATAAACTGCACAGTGCACACCATGAGGACAAGCCAGAAAAAAAAAACACAAAAATTTGCAAATTCTTACAGACCATAACCATAAGCAATAATGCCTGATTCCAATCATTTCTTTGAATAGAGATATAAAATAAGAAAAAAAACCACAAGATGACGCGAACAACAGCTACGAAACCATGATAAACAATCAAAGTAATGTTGATACGTAAACTTAAAATAATCCATGTACAAGCGTGCACCTTAATAGGCACTTTAGTATTCCAAATCATCAAAGATGGGGAACAGAGTGGTCACGAAGGAAAAACCAGAGATCCAAAGAAAGATTAGTACCTGGAGAACCAATCACCCAACATCTTCAACCAAATGAACCATGATTCAAATTATAGTCACTAAGCAATTAGATCAGTAAAATCAAATCTCAAGCATTTGTCCCCAAGATTTTTGTGGAATCATAGTCCCAATAGATTGAATGAGAACTAAAGCACGTTATAGATGCAATTGACACACCAAGAGAATGAGAACTGCAATAAAGGCACGAAAATGAACATGAAAATGACACCCCTCCAAGCCACACATCCTCCCAAACCCTGGTTCTCAACCCATCTCCCACAACATATTTAATGCATTGCGAAAACCTAGGTAACCCTTGGGAAATAAATTTTCATGGGTAGCTGTAACTTCCCTCTCAACCCAATTCGCATCTCATCCATTGGATGTAATCCAATTAGCTTTTGCTAAACAAATTCCAAAGTGAATTTCATTCCAACAGAGAGCTGTATAACCATTTCTGCACTAAGGCCACCAATACACCTCATTTGACTTTAGATCTAAATATCACCTCCCAACAAAACAAATTATCTTTTTAGCACCTTCTACTTCGTACCACAGAAAATTTCTAACCTTTCAATTCTTCCAGCCACCTTGTCTAGAATCTGAAAAAGAGACATAAAATAAACAGATATTCTAGCCAAGACCAGCTGACCCAAAGTTAACCTTCCCCCTCTCAAATAAACACACTCTTCCACCCCTCCAACCTTTTTTTTCCCTCCTTAACATTCTAAAACTAAGAAAACATTTGTCAGTTCGAAATCAATGGATTACCACCCAAAGGTAGCCTAAGTACTTTAGAGGCCATTACCGTAGCCAATCTAACAATCTTATCACAATGAGATTTTATTCCAAAATATGGCTTTTATTCATATTAACTTTAAATGCTGAGACTACTCCAAACACATCAACTTTCTCAAAATTCAAAAAAATTTCCTCATCATATGATGAAAAGAATATGGAAACATCAACAAATAGTAAATGCAAAATAGATTGCCCTCTCAATTACAAATTTCTCCACCAAATTATATCTCTTTGCCCCCATAACTAATCTACTCGATCCATCCACCACCAAAGTGAAAATGATTAGCAGTACATGATCACCCTATCTAAGTCATCAAGACACCTTGAACCTAACCGTAGACTTACCATTAAGGATTACAGGAAAATTCAAGGATTGCAAAAAACCTCTATTATGAAGCCACAATTTTGGTTAAATCGTACTTTTTCATGTCTTTCCTCATTACTACAAGCATCTTTTTTTCAGTCTTTCCCTTGTCTTAGCAACACTCCAACCTGGCTCGCATCCTCATTCGCTTCTACACATCCACCCCAACATCTGCATTTTTTTAAGTATCCCAACATTTGCATTTTGAACAATACTCATGTCACCTATACAAATATGCACACATATAGATCATAAGCAAGGACTTCTAAAATATATAATCAAGGTTTCTCAAACCTAATGTGAGAGTAGAAGCAATAAATTGATACTATAAATAATTACCTATACTTGCAGTTTCATCAATTGCCTACCAGCAAAGAAGTAACAAGGATTGCCACAAAATATTAACAAAGTTTACAACAAACCTTCAGCAAATTCATATAGAGTATTTCCTAACTTGTGAAGGATAAGTCATGACACCAATGACATCAGCCTTCAAAAAATGAACAATAAAACCAAGGCAATAAATAAAGATGTCTAAAAGTTTCCATAGACCAAAATCACCTCCAAGCTAAGGTTCAAGCCGTACCACAGAATACAATGAATAAAGGGACAAGAAAGAAAAAAAATGCTAAAACACAAACAACTTTACTAGCAAATTTTCAAGTAACCAGATCCATAAAATTTCAGGACCACATGAGCAACTATTTGATTAACTCACAATCGGATCAGACAGATAGAAATGATAAGTCCAACAATTTTTTTAATCTCAACATTTATAGGATTAGGCAGTTCCACAGTTTTTAAGGGTTATACATGTATCCAAAGTACAAACGAGATGCATGTTCCTAGACCCAACCATTCGTGTTAATTCTGATAAGTGAAGGCGTAATTTATGACAAATTTTACATGTTGGTGATCATTGGGTGTAGCGCTTCTTCCCCTATGTCACCTATTGGCACTAACGGAGTAGATAGATTAATTTCTACACCAAGGATCAAAATATAGTTTTGAAACAATCGAAACGTCTGAAACGTTTCCGTCTCCGAAGAGACCGAAACGAATCAATCATAGAATCGAAATTCTAATATTTCGAAATATTCCATAATATTTCGAGATGTTTTATAATATTTCAATGCATTTGTACAATTGTTTTAGAATGTTTTAAAGTATTTCAAGATATTTTGATATATTTCAATCAATATTTTAAAAAAATAATTCTTAAATTTTTTATTTTTTTCATTATGTTTTCGAAACGGGTCGAAATGTTTCTGAAACACGTCGAAACGTTTCCATTTCCCAAGTGACCGAAGCAATCCACCAAAACGAAATTTTGATTCTTGTTCTAGACCTAGGCTTATTTAGAGCTAAGAATCTCAAATTCATAAGTGACTTTCGCCCGGGATAAACATGTTTTCCAACCAATTGTTTAACTTGGAGTCAACTGTTTAATCAAAGCTAATAAAATCTAATTGTACAATTTAAACTGAAAGAGAAACATGTAAAGACACAAAACAATAAACAAATAAGTCTAATCTTTCATGGATAGACAACCATTCAATCTCATGTGCAGATGACACGGACTGGCATAGCAAAAGCCACCTCAACCTTGAACTAAGGATCAAAATTTTGTTTCAAAATGACCAAAACATTTTCGTTTCCTAGGAGACCAAAACGAATCAATGATTGAATTAAAATTTCAATACTTCAAGGTGTTTTATAATATTTTAAGGTTTTTCACGATGTTTCGACACGTTATCGGTAAATGTTTTAGAAATAAATTTCGACTTTTTTATTCGTTTTTGTTTTATTTGTGAAATGTTCCTGTTTCTTAGGTGATCAAAACAAATGTGCCGAAACAAAATTTTGATCATCTTCTCGTACTAGGAGTTCTAGCATGAACTCCCACAGTAAATTAAGGAATAATCAATCCAACAAAACCAGTCTTAAGCTATCAACAACGATTAACACCCAGGCAAGTTTAGAACTCCTCAAAAAACTTATCAACCACAGCATTCTTTAATGAAATTCATTGTCTGAAAAAGTATTGCTTATCAAAAATCATGATTATCACAATTCACTAAACCCTTGACGACCCACAATCTAGGTACATCAATCTCAAATGAAGTGGGTTTGCAATCCAAATCACCAAAATGAACGATCCCAAATTGTAATACTAACCCTAAATCAATTCGCTTTTGAACATGTAGTACAAATACAAAATACATATTAATTGATTACATGTATATAGATTTATAATTATATATTATTTTAGATAATAGAAAATTAAGCTAAACTATAAGATAAATGGTAACTAACTCAGTGTTTATGAATATTCTGCAAAATACAATGTTGTATAGTAGGTAAAATGATCTACATAAGAGTTCCAAAACGAATTGTGATCCAAAATACCGTACCAGCTAAACCTACCTCCATCGTACCGCGTATCTAAAAAAGTGTCATACCATGTACCTGTAATCATACCACGTACCAATGCAACCCACGATCCAGATAACATTGTCAAAAACTAATTACCAAGTAATACTAAATGAGACGTTGCTTTTTTTTAGGAGGGGCAACGAAACTGCCATTTGGTTGTGACAAGCTTTTGCCCATCCTCCCAAATGGAAGACAATAGCTTAATCTCTTTCTCAAGAATACCTGTCTCTTAGAAAAAGGGCGCACTAATGGCCAAAGATGCGTCATTTGGGTAATAATTCATGAGATACCCAATTATATGCTCATCTCACAAAAATATAATAAACGCAGACAAAGTTAAAAAAAAAACATAACTAAGAGGCTCATGAAATGAAAATGACAAGAGAATCAGATACGGGATCCAAATATGCACTACCATTGAAAAGTGACACAATTACCACATTAGTAGTCTTAGACAAAGTGAGCAGACTAACAAAATAAAACGTGAAACTAATGACCAAACAAACAATAATTAAGAACAACTGGTCACCATCTCAAAGCCATCTTAATGGGTGTTGTGAGACAGGACGTGAACACATCAGCAGGAAATTCTGCACTCTGAGGAAGAGTCTCATGCGCTTCACAGGCTGCGAGCAGTATACAATCCCTCGCAGAAGATCCCGAGGAACTAGAAGCAGTCCAGTCCTGGAGCTAAACAAAAAATGAGACAATAACATCAACCACCAGAGAACTGATATTACTGACCAAAATTTTATAAATCATGGCAGTACAAATGCCATGCCCATTTATAAAGTGACAGTAGAAACCACTAATACCTCTATGAAGGCATTGACAATCATCCCTGCAGCAGAGCAGTCTAACACATATATAGATGGTGTCTTCAACCAGGAATCAAGGTCGCTGATAGGCAGAGGGATATATTGGGTATAACTCTGCATGGAATGACTCAAGTCAGATAAAAACATGTATTCAGGCAATGAATTGCATGGAAAGTGTCCAGGATCAGTTAAAGACCTTGTTGAATAGCCAAATTTCACCATTAGCAGTTGGCTTGGGCACACCATGTCCATTGTAGTGAAACAGAACTCTCTCAGACTTGGCATATTTGCGACATGTAGTACAAAGCTTCTTCACTTCCTCCACGGTAGGATCTAACTGAATCTTGTAGCGAGCCTGTTAAAATTGTAATTTCAAATGAAGTCTTGCCTTGTTAAAGAAATAATTGACCAATTACAAAGCAAGAATTTTCTCACCCTAGGTTGCCACCTCTCGTACTGTTGATTCAAGGTTCTCCCAATTGTTTCAAGAGCCTTTTGAGGCGCCATAGAGAACGGATCTGCAGAAAGAGAAAATACAAGATCAATGAAATGAATCAAACGTTGATTGCTCTCTTAAAGTTGAAGAAACAGTCATCTTTTTTCTTTATGCATTGTGACTGAGACCATAAGGTTAATGAAAGGGGAAATGTTTGAGACCAGGAAACAGAGTTGAATTAAAGAACAGATGAAAAGATGAAGCTCAAGTAGATAACCAAGTGATGTTGATCCCCTTCAAAATTCATAAAACAGAACATAAATGCAGCTCTCACTTTTCCTTTTCTCTGCTATAAATACAATTATCGTTTGAGAGACATGAATATAGAGGAAAAGCAACAGATCCAAATTTTTGGTAGAAGCCACAATTTTAAGCACCGAGAAGAGGTCTTCTACAGCATATCGGCCTAATATGAGGAATGCAGAAAAACAACCGCATAGGCATGGTTAATTAAAAAATAAGAATAAAAAGAAAGAGAAGACCCTAAATAACTAGTCCGATCAACAAGTCAACTGATCAACAGTCTAAGCAAATAAGAGAAGCACATGGGAAAAATGTTATATCCTTGCCACCCCATAAAAGGGCACATTTTCTTTGTGACTTCAGATCACAAATGTGAGTGAGACACCAAAAAAAAATATTTAAAAAAAAAAAGAAGAATAAGAAGAAGAAAAGCAGAAGGCAATGAAAAAGGCATATCAAAAACTAATCCCTGGTGTTCCTGCATTAGACTGAAGAGATAGGCAACTGCTTCCCATCATAATGACCCACCTTAACCAATGGCTAACGGCACAAAACAGGGCATCAAATATTCACCTTCTATATAGAGTTCATAGTGTGTATCAGAATATCAGCTACATGAAATCTAATCCATTTTGTAGAAGTAAGGCTTGAAACATGACTAAAACTACTCAAGTAACTTCTAGGATCAACATCTAAAAAATAAAAATTCATGCCTAAATCATGTTTCAAAATTGTTCAATTGGTTGACAAATGCATATATATATTTATCAAGCACACATAATCAATCTTATTAAGCACACAAAATGAACCAAAGAACATAAGATCCTGAAAGATTAGCACAGATATGGACAATAAATCTAAAACCAACCGTATATTTGATGATACAATGAAATCTGTTCTCAGGTGAAAAAACAGACAAAAGAAACTGTCACTAAGAAGCTGCCAATTGATCACTGTATCACCTCTCAAATAATTAGTATGAAATTGTCTGTTGTTCAGGTCTCTGCAGAAAGATGTACTGAGAAGTGCATAGGCAGATACACAATAGACCATGGAAGTGACTGGAAACTTCCAGTATCAGAATATAGACCAAAATAAAACAATATTATTACACATCTAGGGCTAAGAGTAATGACTCCAACAAGTACTGATGATTATACCAATCCAGCATTCCATTCTTGCACAGGGAGATATCTTTATTACATCAGGTGGATCAACACTAATGTTCAAACATAAAACAAGAGCCACACATCCTGTCTTCATCTGCCAAAAGAAAAAACTGGGAGTTACAACACATGCATAAATATAATTTCAAAAACATTTAAGAACAAGTACCAGATCCAACATAAAGCTAATAAAGCAACACTATTAAGTCAAAGAGCTTTTTCTTATTCCTTTTTTTTTTTTTAAAAGGAGAGGGGGGGAAGCCGTTAATATTTCATCCTTCCGTTACAGGAGTAGGCATCCCCACAGATCTGAACCCCATTTCGATTTCTATCGGCGTGAGCTTCTACTACCTACCAAGCAATGGCCTAAGATATTGCACAATAAAGGTTTGTTTCCCCTTTATTGTTTAGTTATATGATTCATACAATTTGCTCAATGATAAGTCCACCCACAATGCAGTCATTGGTATCATCCTTCAAACATTTTTGGTTTCATTTTTATTCAATTTCCGCGTCAACTTAGATTCTCTCATCTTTTGATGCAGAGACTGCTCAATTCTATGCTTCATTTTAACATAGAGTCAAAAAGTTCTACTGACATAAGGAAGGCTAGCTTCATTAATGTTCTTATCATAAAGCCACGTGCCTCCGTCTAGTTCCAAAAATCCTACTATTTTATCAAAAATAAATAAATAAATAAACCAACTTAATAATTTAACTGCTTTGGTTGGCTGCAAGAAAATACTTTTTTTCCATAAATACAAGGTAGACAATAATTCTTATCAAATTCGAGGCAATCATATCTAATTAATGCCTCAACCTACAATCTTTTATTGATTTCAACTCATCTTTTGACTCCTCCAACTTGGATCATATCCTTCTTCAATGGAATAAAAGGAATTAGTGTATGGTGTATATGGCCAAAAGTAAGGGCAGATATGAGTTGAGCCGAGCTGAGGTCGTGGTTGTTAATCTAGCCTTGATAAATTTGTGTAATACTCGAGCTTTGGCTCGAATCTCAAATATCAAAAACCTAAAGCATAAAACAACTTGGCGCATTGTAATGAAAGATTGATATTCAAATATGGTTTCTTAGTACTTTCCTAACTAATATGAGAATATTTCGATTTACAACAATTAAAAAATAGATCATTTTTAGGTGATAGAGAACCGTTCCAACCACGGATCCTTTGAATCCCTTGAAAGATTTGCCAATCAGGCTAATCCTGAGGCTTAAATTTAAGTCATGCTATGAATTTAGAAGGGAAAAAAGTTTAAAAGATTTCAAGTTTTTGTCTCTGAGTACGTGGAGAGGCCATTCACCCCAAGAACCAAAACCCCAGAAACTCACGGGCAACTGATCCTGAGGAGAAAACCCCATTAATTAAAAGGTCATGCGAGGAGTGATAGGATAACAACTGAGGTTACTTCCATAGGCAAAGGAAGAGACCCTTCGAGTGAGATTCGTCGTGCAGCAGCCAACCATCTATACTAGTAACCTTTTCCACCATGACCTGATAAACCTTGAGGATTGTTTACCCCCCAAGAACCAATCTGAGGACTTCCAAATATTCCTCGCTCGGTGCATAATAAGGGCAACTCAACCTATGAGGTCACTATGCTATCCAATGCTTTCATAGAACTGGATCAAGAAATACAAAGATATTTGTGATCCCATGTATACGTGGAAGACATACTTTCCATGATTGAGTTGATCCTTAAGAGAAAATTTAAGGATTCTATTGGATTGTCACCTATTAAGGTGAGCAATATGCAGCAAAACTACTGTAGGCTGACTTCCCTCACCAGTCACCACCACACAATTTCACATCTTTAAGAGCTGAGCATGTTCGAGACAGGCAGCAATCTACTCAAGTTAGTTTCAACTATTAAACAAATAGCAAAATTTAGATTAGTTCTCTGCTCCTTGGGTCCTTCGAAATGGCCTAAACAATTTTGACTAAGTCAAGCTCAACCTAAACTTGAGCTACGCAGTTTGATGTATCTTCTGGTTAAAGACACTTCCTAACCAAACAACATATGATGACTGACCCCACCAGTTAACTTCAACCATTTCCATTTTCTAAGGTTTCTATACTGCAAAGTGATTGTGACTAATATGGGCTTCCTTCCGTATAGAAATTTTTCCGGAGTTCATTGGCGTTTGAAGAGTTGATATATGCCTACAAGTGGCTAAAAAACAATGTACCCATGGTCCTCAGGAACAGGAGGTTAAATCCATAGTTGGACCACCAATAACTCAAGCCTTAGATTTCCTCTATATAAATTGGAAGGATGACATTCTCATGAACCCCAACTCTGACTGAGACTTGCAAAATCCAAATATGTAGGGGAACACAATTCTTATTAATCTCTATTCTCTACACTTTCTTAACATGATAACTCAACAAGACTATCAAGTTATCCACTGCCACGTTATTTCATTTTCCAACATGCAGTTTAAAAAAGTAGATTGCCCATCTGATGAACAATATATTACTTCAATATTAATACTACTTGGAAAACAGATTCTTGTGGCACACAAAAAAGGGAACATGGTTGGAATTTCTGAATGGTACAATTATTGAAATTCACAAATAGTTATTAGCAGTCCTGGGGAGAAAATAGCAATACATTTGTTACTGGAAATTTTATCATCCTAAGCAATATAGAGGCAGTGAAGCAGATGTGTTTTGATACATTACAAGGCATGCCACTTTTCTTCTTTAACTTCTATTTAATCACATAATGATGCGTCTAGGATTCTTCAGAGTGCATCAAGCAACTTGTTCGAATTTGATGTTAGCAAGCTTGCCTGAGAGTTTCACTTTAAAATCTACTCAATTCAACCCAACATAACGTTGTCCCAACTACTTTAGGTAGGCCACAATATATGTTATGTCACTATTAAGCTAATTCTGCCTTAGGTTATGAATTGCATAAACCAGGCCATATATTCACCTCATTGAGCAGCATAATAAAGCTCAGGATTCTAACTCCTACAAAATTAAAATAAACATCAAATCCAGTTGTTAACAGATACGTCTCAATGATAACAACCCTATAGCCCAATACAGAAGTACAAATGCTGAACACATGGTGCCTACTCAGTTAACAATGATCCTACAACAAATGCAGTTTTCAAGCAAATCCTAAAGTTGCTTTCTTATGTTTGTCTTCCCCCTTGACATTAGTAAAACTCCACAAAACTTAATAGTTTTTCATTACAATACATATATAAATAAACTCCATAGAACTATGGTTTCCAGAAGTTCAGATATTATCTCAAAGTTCAAAGATATAAAATCAAATTATTACTAATTACAGAGAACACTATCACGCATTTTCTATCCAAAACAGAAACTGCCTAATAAAACCTCAAATAAAATATCTAATTGGCCACAGAAACAACTGTGAAAATGTCATAGCATAGTGAAAGCACAGCTTACTCGGTCCTTGGGCCGCCACTTGGAGACCAACCCACTATCCAATGGACCAGACGGCTCGCAAGCCTCGAACGCCTCATGCCGAAGCTCACAAAACACTATATTCTGCGGCAAATACGCCATACTTGTGGCCGTTATGGTGGTGGCATTGCCACCATAGCTGCTACTTGCTGTCTCCGAATCCCTATCCCTATTTCTCTGCAAATCCACGTCTTCATGATTCGTATTATACTCCTCCAAGTGATTTGAAACTGCCGCCGACGACGCCGAAAATCTTGACGCCATCAAATCCCCCAATGCCATTCAATTCCCACACAACAAAACCAAACACAGTCAATAAAATCAAGCTTGCTCTAATCGAAACAATATGCAACGAAAATCTATGCCATAGATCAGTGAAATGGTTGAATTGAAACCCTAACCCTAGGTCTTTGTGCAATTACAGTGAAAAGGGGGCCTTAATTGGTTCAATCAACGAAGCCGCTGAACCAGCGGCGCATGGAGATTCTGATGAGATAGGTGAGAGAATCCAGCTCCGAAATCCCTGTAAAAGTTTGGGAGAGGGGTTTCGAGAGGCGCTGCTGAAAACCCTAGAAGAAACCCTAAGTGGTGGAGGCTATGGAGGCGCATACAGCAGAGAGAGAGAGAGAGAGAAATGGATTTTGTGAAAAATATAGAAAGAGAAGTCACTCAAACGTAGAGAGAGAGAGAGGGCATATGACATGTGGGTGTGTTTGTGATTTTTTACTTTTGTTTTCTCTTCTTTCCTTTCGTTTTTTGGCACAAATTTTTTATAATATTATTTCTTGACCTCTTTAGTAACTACGAATTCGCACATTTTGCTTGTGAAGAAGGCGGTAGTAGTTTGAAGCTAGTGGTCCGCGGGCCGCGCCGGGCCGAAATGTTGCACTAAGCCCAAGGCCTTTTAATTTGACTTTGACCATTAAGCTTCCTTTATCACATTTTAAAACACAAAACAAAAAGAGAATCTTATCAAATTGGTACCTAAAGAAAACTAGCAATGGTATAGGCACCTTATTTAAAGACATAATAATGTGATTTTAATATAATTATTAAATTAATTATAAATTCTAATAATAAATAGAGTTTATAATCAATCTAATGATTGTATTGAATTAGGTCCCTAAATTAAGTTCAAATAATATTTTTTAAATAAAAACATGACAAGTTATTTTATGTGATGTTGAAAATTTTGAATATGTAATGTAGGTTTTATGCTTTTAATAATTGGATTCGTATTTTTACAGTTGACATATTCAAAACCCAAAATTCTTGTAAGCAAAACAAAGTGTTAAAACAATAAATAGTTATATTAAGAGAAGGTTTAATAAAAATAGAAAAATAATACATGATAAATAGAGATTGTATAAATTGACTATTTATTCATCTTTTAAATTGTCTAATAAATTATACCCTCATAAAAAAAAATAGTGAATTAAATAATTATATTATAAAAATATAAAAAATAATTTGTTGATGTTTATATGTGTGTATACACAGATCATGGGAAAGAAAAGATTTCTTTTTAGTGATATGGGTAACTAAGTATACAATTGTTTTTTGAATGTAGACTAGTTAGTGTGTGTGTGTGTGAGAGAGAGGGAGAGATTTATTTGTAAACTTTAATTGTATTGGGACATTTGATATTTTAGTGATTTGACAATTGAAACGATATTATTAGGCCTCTTGATTTTACTTGGATTTTTTCTAAGAATTTGTACATGATTTGATTTTTTTTTTGTCTAAAATATTTTTTTAAGCCAAAATAATAGGTAAAAACTACGAACATAATTGGGAGCCTTTTTTTTTTTGAGGCCCTAGGTGGTTGCTTAGTTGGCCTACCTATTGAGTCGGCCCTGGTATGATAGAAAATTGGATGAAAAGTCAATTATTTCTATTAAAATGTATCTTATTTGTTTATATATCATTTGATATGTACATATATTATATATACATTAATTTCATATATATATTTATATTTAAAAAAAATTAAAAATAAAAAAAATATGTTTACTCAACACAATGACACGATTTGAGATCGATACGAATTTTATGACACAAACTTGATTATAACTCAACACAAACTCAAAAATAACCTGACACACGAATACGAAATATAAACAGCTCATATTCAGTTCAACTTGTCAGATCCAAAATTAACACGATCAATCCGTTTATTTAAGAATAAACATTTTCTCTATTTTATCGTGTGTATGATTATACAAAATTAACATGTTTAATTAGCATTATAGATATAAAATGGTAATTATTTGTAACTATTTATTAAACAATGACATATTATTATATAAAAAAGATATTTTTACTTATTATTATATTTCTTTAAGTTAATTTTTAATTTGTAGAAAAAGTATAATCATGGATTCAATTAAGTGAAAATAGAATATTAGTGTTAAATTTTTTATTCAAAATTTATGTGAGTCAACATGAATGCGAACTCGATATGAAAACAGATCAATTCGACACGATACAATTAGTTAAATGAGTTGAGTTTTATTTAATTAATATTTAACATAAACCCATAATGACTCAACACGAACCTAACACAACACGACTTGATTGTCACTTTTAATCTTAGAAAGCACAAAAAAAAAATTAATGTTTTTTATTTTTTATCCATTCTATCAAACACAAAGGAATGAAAGTATATTATTCTTACTTTTCTTTCTTGAAAAATAAAAAATGTATCTTTTCTACTTTCCATCATTTCTACTTTCTATTATTTCTACCGAACAGAGCATAAAAAATCTCTCTAATCTATTCTTTATCTCACTCTCTATTTCTCATTTCATCAAAAAGGCTCCCCAAATCTGGCAAGCTCTTTAGCCTTGTCAAAAACCCTTCCCCCTCCCCCATGCCTTTTCTTTCAACTCTCCATGTAGAATTTTCATGCCTTTACAGAATTTTGTGCACTGCTTGAATGCGTTTATAAAATTGCTTTGATTTAAATTTTGATTGAATTTTGGGTTAAATTGAATTTTAAGTTAAATATGACCATTAAAAATATGGTGATGACGTGATAGGCTACGTAGTATTTTCAATTTAAATTATTCAAAGTTAGTTGAAATAATTAATTAAATTAGAGAGCGTGGTTAGAGTAAACTTGTAAAAATGACTTTCCAAAATAAAGAGTGAAATATTTAAATATATTTTGAATAACTAAAATAGAAAGTTGGGTTAAAATTGCTCTTACCCGACTCACATGTACCCCCCCCCCCCCACCCCATTCCACATCGATAACCCCCCACCCTGCAACCTTCTACCTTGCCAACCCACTGCTCTACCTTGTCAATCTTGTACCTTAGCACTCCACCCCCCCCCCCCCCCCACCTCGTAACCCACTCAAACCTGCCAATCCTCCCCCTACCATGGACCAATGTGAAATTCTTTGAAGTTTTTATGTTGTTATTTTATTTTTTTTAGATGAGGGGAAAGGGAGAAAAGTGATCTATATAGTAGAATAGAAATAAAGAGATACAATTATTGAAAATTTTCGTTTTTTTTTCTGGATACACAGTGAACAATTTGTGTTGCTTGTGTGGATCGAACTTAAGCAACAAACCTAGTGAAGACTATGCATTATTTCCAGCACAAAAAAGTTTGTGGCAAGATTTGAATTTCTTGCTTCTCTTAGTGACATTTAAGATTTCCAACTACCCAAATGAACTAAAGATCACACTCAATATAGAAAAAACTTGTGGTAAATGGAGTCTAAAAAAGGTAAGCCATTGTGTTGGTTATTATATATTTTGACAAAGTTAAAAAGAGGATATCTATTCTATTCCAAATGTAAAGAGTAACGCAATACTCCCGGGGGTTTGGGGTGGTGCTTAAAGACATATGAAGGTAGCCACAAAAAAATATGCAAACAGAAAGAGTCTATCCAAAAACGAAAATATCACAAAAACAGTCGAACTGTGGTGACCAGTTCTCCAAATATCTGTTATTATAAACAGAACTACGGTGCTCATTGCAAGCTCAACAAGTTAGGATACTCCCAAGTGGGAAATAATTTGGATGGACTCTATTCCTTCTGTCAGACAAGTTGTAAGCTAAAGCCACAACTATATGAGTGGTGACCTTCTTGGCTGAATGATAAAGCATACCCATTATTTTCATGAACCTAAAGTTTTGGCAAGTTATTTACATAAATGTTATAACATCAATTGATGATAATACATTTTTTTTTTCTTTTTCTGAGCAACATTAGCTTAGGTTTCCGATGATTTTTGTCTTTGTTATATTCTATGTTTTACTTTCTTTTAGGTAAACATGTTCTATTAGTTTTGTCATTAAATTTTAATGTAACAACCTTAAAACGGTAGGTTTAAATAAAAAGACAAGTAGGTAAAAATTTTCTCGACTAAAATAAGTGTTATTTATGCTCACCAAACTTATATAAAAAAAAGCCTTTATAAAAAAACATATAATGGAGAGACTGACTCATCCGTCGCAACCTGTTGGGTCACACAAAGTTAAACTCAATGATTAAGCATTTGAAGTAATGTATTGTTGTGGCATGCACGGCTGCCGGGCCCGTCTATGTGTTTTCTGTCATCTTATTTGGTGATCTCATGTTATCGTTTAGTCATATACATATGAAAGTAAAGTGACAACTCGAATTCTCAACATATAGTCACATATAAGTTGTTCTACATGATTTGGTGCGTAGTCCCATTGAACGAGGAGCAAGACAACGTACAGTTATAATCAAACAACAAAAGTTCAATTATTTTTGTTCCCATTCTTACTCTTCCAAATATTTGCCACTTTGTTTATTGTTGTTGCTTTGTAACTTTGTTGGTGCTTCTTCATAGATCAGCAGGTGGTAGTTGGCTAAACAATCAAGGGCTCCGAGCTTATTCGAAGTGGCTTTGAGTGGCACTATGTATAATTAAATTCCAACTTTCAGCTGGCTAGTTATGAGTTTAACACATGCATTTGGGAATGTTTGGCACGGTTCAGGTAGAAATAAAAGATGAAATTGGGTAATTAGTTCTTATCTAATTAATAAAATGGTGTTAACAAGAGTATTATTTAATCTTATCGGTATATAACAAGTTTGAATCAAAATTAGAATAATATATAAATCTATAATTATAATACCAAAATTATGCATGGATTAAGTAATAGTGTATGGTATTAAATTAAAAATGATAAATCAAATATTAAGGGTCAGAATTTACATAATGTGTAATTTTTATATGAAGGTGTGACTCTAAGTTTGCAAGCATAATAAAGTCATTGCATTTTTAATATTTGTTAAAAATAATGCCACCTACTATATGGTATTTGTTACTACCTAATATTAGGTATTAAATGACAACAATAAACTGAATCAGGATTAATTAAAATAAATATTAGTTCGCTATAACCTCATCCAAACTTAGTACTATATTATTACTAGTTTAAATTAATTCAATTCATCCCTCTAATACTAAACCAAACACACCCTTGTTTGGGGGATAAATGGGGGTATAAGGAGGTGAGATAGTGTTTTTTTCATACTGGGGTCTCACATATACTTTGTTTGTTAACCATTTTTAATAAAATACTAATTTTTGGATTATATGATCCGATATGAACAGGGGCATTAAACCCATCTATATGGGTATATCTAGTACCACCTGAGAGATGGTATTAAAAGGCGAGAGAATGGGCACCAACGGTATAAGGAAGCTAAATGACTATAATACCCCTTCTCCCATATCCTTGAAATAGTATTAGAGGTAAATAGGTCTATTTGTGTGTATGAGATGTGACATAATAAATTTTTTTTGATAGGTCCCACAATAAAATATATTACTCAAACAAATATGGGATGAGATTGCATTCATTTTTATTATCGAAATTGACTTTTCTCTGTATACTAGCAATGCACAACATGCGTTGCACGCGAAAATTTTTGTTGAAACATTAAATAAAATACATAAAAAAAAATTTTAAGTATGCAGCTACATTAGATATTATCTCATATTTATTATGTTTAAATTGTTTGTATTCTCTTCATAACTATAAACATCTAATTGACTCATTTTCTATGATTATTTTATTCGAACAACCAAGTAGTAATGTTTATAAATTTTTCTTTTCACGATTTTTTTTCTTTTTGTCTTTCTTGTTTTTACTTTATGCATCAGTAATTTTTTATTAAATTATTTTGATTATGAACGATACAATAAACATATCCATTTTTTTTGCATTGGAGGTGACATTGTATCAGTAAGGTTGTCGACGGGTATTAATATTGAATTTTTTGAAAAAAAGAATAATGTTATATTTATATATCATGCTAAGCATAACATGATCATTCAAATATTTTGCAAAGATAGAGATATTTTTATGATATTTTAGAGATTAGTTTGTTATTTAAATACAAAGGGATATTATGGTAGTTTGTATATTTAAATACAAAAAGATATATTAGTTTTTATAGTTTTGGGATAATTACACTCAGACTCCCTGAAATTTGTCACTTAATCATTTAGATCCCTGATATTTAAAATATTACATACAGACCCCTATGAGATTTGTACGCTTGTAACACTTAGACCCTTGGTATAAATATATTTGTTAATTAATTATACTTAGATTCCCTAAAGTTTGTAAATATATAATACTTAAACCCCTTAAGTTTAAAATATTATACTTAGACAAAAAATACTCTAATTAAATATAAAATATTAAATACTAGTTATTACCTATGCTTGAAGGCACAGGGTAATAACAAATGATAAACAATAAATATATTTGTATTCATATTTAAAATCAAATCATAAACATATAAAAGAGATAAAAAAAATTTAAGTATCAGTTTGTAGTGAGGATGAGAGATGGTGGGCGACAATGGTGATCGTAGAAGACGGTGATGGTTATAGTGAACGACAATGACCATGGAGGCGGCAACGCTGATGGTGGCGGCGGTGGGGGTGATGGTGGTGGTGGGGGTGGTAAAGGTCGTGGTGAGGTAATTTCAAACACTATAATTTTTTGAAGTATTTATGAAAAATAATTTTTAAACATACTTTTACAAAATCACTCCAAACACACCTTTAGGAACCTATATAAGGTGTTAATATTAGCCATTAAATTAATTTTAAAGTAAAATTTAAAGCGATTTTAATCGCGAATAACAAAAGTCATTTTTTTTATCTTTTGAGATTTGAATTGTAAGCTACTTTATTATAAAGATTTTAAATTTTACAACAAAAATTCATGTTCTATTGTATCATTTATTAAAATAAAATAAAAAATAAAAAATAGTAATTAGCATACAATTATACTATTTATTGGAATAAAACTAAAAAAATCAAATAAGGGGTCTAAGTCCTTCATAATAGAACATGAATTATACATCTAAAATTCATGTTCTATTATGTCATTTATTGAAATAAAATCAAAAATAAAAGTCTAGTTTTTAAAAAAAAAAATCATAGTTAGTATATAATTATATTATTTATTAGAATAAAACTAAAAACTTAAATAAGGGGTCAAACTGTAATGGACACAATATATTTTAACTTAATTTGGGATAGTTTGGTATTTTAATTTGACAGTTAAATGACCAAATTAAATTTCAATAGATAATGTAATTGTATACTAATTATGATTTTTTAAGAAAAAAATTGAATTTTTATTTTTGATTTTATTTCAATAAATGATTAAATAGAACATAAATTTTGGTTATAAAATTTAAAATATTTGATATTTTATCTTCGATTGCAGTGTTTTTTTGTCTAAATATAATATTTTAAACTTAAGAAGTTTAAATATTATATACCTACAAATTTCGTGGGGGTCTAAGTATAATTTATTAACTGATATATTTACAACAATGTTTAAGTGTTATGCACGTACAAACCTCAGGAGGTCTGTATATAATATTTCAAATGTTAGGAGGTATGAGTGATTAAGTGACAAACTTTAGAAGGTCTATGTGTAATTCTTCCTATAATTTTTTATCAGGACAAAATAGTGAATTAAAATTTTTTTATGTTAAAATACTTTTATTAGTAACGTAGAATCTATAGATATAGATATAAAGTGTATAAAATAAATTATTCAATCCCACGAATACCAGTCCCCCAAATAAACACAAGGGTAGTTTATGAGTATGTAAGATTTTGACCGTTCTGGGATAACAAATCCTATATTGATCTATCACTTCACAATTTTTGGTTGTTGAAAATATGTGAAACACAAGCAATTTCGATTTCTACGAAGAACTCACCTTAACAGCAGGAACATAACAAACCTTTATAAGGACTAGCACGTGATTATCATTAAATGGCCTAGAAGGCTGGCTCCATTGAATTGGCCATGGGGCATAAACTTCTAAATGCCTCACACCAGGTGAATACTTTCACTTTCAGAATGAGACATGAAATGATTAGGCCAGCTCAAGCATACCTCAGAAATTAAACATTCACAATGATTCAATCCATTACTCATGCACAATCCGAAAAGGCCAACTTGATTTCCCCACTTTTTCCTTGGCATTTTCTGCTTGTCCTTCTCTTTCCTATGATCACTGGCTAAGAAGCACAGACACGACACGAAACAAACATATAAACACGATATTTTTCAAAAAATAAGACAGAGATATATTTGAGACATATTACAAATACTAAATTATATTTTATATCTAAAATTATATAATTTATCACAACTATAGTAATAGTGATATATTATTCATACAAAATTTAGTATTTTATGATAGTAAATGTTATGTTTCGTCATCTAATATGAATTTTTAGACTTCATAATAATTAATAACTATCAAAATTTTCTTAGAGGTGTATTAAATATATATAATTTAAAGGATTGCTCTCATATCCTCAATTACTTTTATTCTAAATTTTTTATTTATCTTTTGATTGTATTATTATATTTTGAGTACAATTTTAACATGTTTACTTTTAGTAATTGTGTGGTCTCCTAACGTATAAGTTATTTATTAGTCAAATTTTAAATTTTGTTAATACATATTTATTATTTAATGTCAGACAAGTTACCAAAGAAGTGTCAGACACGTCACTAAAGAATAATCAGACACGTGTCTAAAATTAAAATATTTTCATTTAATTATGAACACGGATAAAAGAATACCAGACATATGTGTGAGGAATGTCGGTGTCCGACACAAATACGTGACTTTCTTGAGGGTGTCCGCATTTCATAGATCAGTAGTGAAATTATATTACCACAACTCCATAATAAAAGAAAAAATAAGATGAGTATTTGGTATAATATGTTACACGTCATTCCCACGCGAGAAAACTGTCAGCAGAGGTATTGTTAATTCATGGCCAGATCAGAATTGTCCAAGTGGCATAAAAAATTCCCCGACTCTTAAGGATACAATAATCCACTCAAAAGCTTGCACGCCTCCACCCAAAAAACAGAAGCACTCAATTCATCCCAACCAAATTAGATGTCAGTGTCCCCATCAGAATCCATTACCACCTGCTCTGTCTACTCAGTGGCGTTAACGATGGAGACTCACTCACTTTTCTTCATTTATAAAAAGTTTAGGTTTGCACAAACAACTTGTATTTAAATTTGAAAAAAAGTGGTTCAGCATAGGACACTCCCATCACAGCAAGGTCTTAGGTTTGAGAAGAATTAAATGTCCGCTTGCAAAAAAAAAAAAAGGCTGTTTCCGCACCATATTACCAACTGTCCATGACAATTAAAAGTGTAAGAAGTGGGTGGGGACTATAAGAAATAACATTATGGGTTGGCATATTAATGTTGCCATAAACCCACAACAGTAGACAAGATTAAAACAAAGCATATGAAAGCTCAGACACCTTTTGGGAGTGGGTTGACACTGGACATGTTGTAACACTCAGGCCATCCTTTTCTTTCACTCTTCTTCATTGATTCTCACCTCAAAACCCTATCAGGGCTACCCACCTGACCTGCCAGAAAATTATCAAAGATAAGTAACAAAAGCATGTGAAAATAAGCTGCTATTCACTCATGAAACTCTTTTTGTTTGTTTTTCTTTGTATTTTGTACACTTATGGCTATTGCGGCTCGGATGTTCACATTGGTTACAGGGTTATTCTTGCTGTCCCTATGTCATATAGCAGGAACTTCACAGGAAGAGCTTTTCTCATGGAGACTGCCCAAATGGCACCCAAATTTCGAGCAGCATTGAGTGTTGAAGCTGTCGAACAAAAATACTCGTGTTCACTTGATGTTTTCCTAGGAGATGTGAAAGTATGGAGTTCCGGTCATTTATCAAAATTTTACACAACGGAGAAATGTGTGATCCAGCTAACACGAGATGGAGACTTACAATTGACAGGTCAGAAAGACTCAGTTGGATGGAGAAGTGGAACTTCTGGACAAGGTGTGGAGGTAATTTACATAGTAATTAGTAGTTGTACTATGTTTTGCCATAATGAGCATTAGGCCACTAATTTTCTGATACTTGATCTTACATTGCTGCAGAGACTACACTTACTAAGGACGGGTAATCTAGTTTTAGTTGATGGCCTGAACCTAATAAAATGGCAGAGTTTCAATTTCCCAACTGATATAATGCTCTGGGGCCAGAGATTAAGTTCAGAAACTCGGTTAACTTCATTTCCCAGCAACTCAAGTTTGTTTTATTCATTTGAAATTCAACACGACAAGATTGCGTTGTACTTGAATTCTGGTAAGCGGAAGTATTCTTACTGGGAATACAAGCCTTCCAAGGATCGAAACCTTACATTTGTTGAATTGGCTTCTAAAGGGATAGAGTTGTATAGTGATAAACATAGCAGGATTGGTCAGATCACATCCCAAAGACTTGAACCCCTGCGATTTTTAGCACTGGGGACGAATACTGGCAATTTGGGGCTTTACTACTACTCACCTGACAAGGGAAACTTTGAGGCTTCCTTTCAAGCAATAAATACCACGTGTGATCTTCCCCTGGCTTGTAAACCTTATGGTATTTGTACCTTCTCAAATGCCTGTTCATGCATTCGGTTAATCACAAGAGGAGAGGGGTTAAATTCTGATTGCGATGAGGGAATTTCAGAAGGATTTTGTGGTAGAAATCAGGCAGATATGCTTGAGTTACAAAGTGTTAGCAGTGTATTAAGGGGTATTCCTCAGGGGCTTAATATTAGCAAAAAAGTATGTGCGGGTTTGTGCATTGAGGACTGTAATTGTGTTGCTGCATTATATTCCTCTGGTACTGGGGACTCAAGCTTGCAAGAATGCTTTCTGTACGGAATGGTTAGAGGGCTTAAACAGGTTAATAGGGGAAGCGGATTGAGTTATATGGTTAAGTTTCCAAAGGAAACCAGTAAAGATCATGGGAAGAGTTCTGGTTTAAAAAAATGGGTCTTGGTTGTGGTGGGAGTGGTTGATGGTCTTATTATTTTACTTGTTTTGGGAGGAATTGGGTACTATGTAGTTCAAAAGAGAAGAAGGAATACATCAGATACCAGAAACCCCACGTAACCACAGGATTCTGTGTGAGAATTGGAAACCAGAATACAAGGTCTTAGTTTATGGAACCAATGCAAAAGCACAGCTTGGTTGTTTTAGAGAGGGCTGGCTTTCAATGACTGAATTTGTTGAATTGCATTTCAATGTTGATCTTCAACTTCTAACAGTTCAAAAATCCAATTTTATGCCTAACTTTGAACAATTTTATAGACTAACATCCAACTGAAACGGAGAACTCCTGCAGGCAAATTTGTGCTGAAGACCAATAGAACATTGCTTTTAGAAGCTAATGTTTAAGAGAGAGCAGATTAAATAGAAGATGTGGTTGATATAATGGAGACCAATTCCCAGTTATCAGCCAAGGTTTGTCTTTCCCCAGTCTAATTGTGCAATTCGAATAGCATTTAGAGTCCTTGAAAATGTACCATCCTGCTGTTTACCATGGAGATAGTCTTCAAGGTCAGCAAACCGAACGGATGATTTCTTTCAAACAAATTGAAGGGACATAGAAGAACTGAAACAGCTAAAGGGCTATTTTGTGTATGGTTGTATCGTTTGATTTATTGTTTTTCTATTGATTTCTTGAACTCTGAAAGAACAGGAAATGGAATGGTACCTCCTGACTTGAGGGGCTGTGATTGTTATCATCTCAGGCATCAATTGACGTGTGTAACACTTTTGTTGAAGGATTGTACTTCATTTCATGGTCTGAATTATTATTGTCTGTCTTCCGGGGTGAAGTTTGCCTTCATGGCCTGAATTCTCACTGTCACCTAGCAACATCAAAATTAATCGTTCTGAAAAAAAATTAAGTTCCAAATAGTAGCAAAAAGAAAAAAGAATTGCCCAAAGATTTGAATGCTTAAGTACCATTGAACTAAAGATTAAAACTGGATAGACCTTTGTAATCCCTTTTGATGCAATATCAAATTTGCCATGCATAGTTAATTAATTTTTTTTAAAAAAAAAAAAAACTAAAAGAAGGTCGATTCAAAATGTACATAATAAGTATGCATAGACCATTAGAACATCATTTTTTTCCCTTAATGGTAAATTTGACTGACACCTTCTGAAAAATGGCCTAATTACGGGGACACTCCTTATAGTTTTTAAAATATCACTAATTCTCCTTGTCAGTTCTTGTCTTTAATGGAATAAACGTAATTTATATTTTTACACAACTACCCTTAACAAAAAACTATTTTTACTCATTTATCCTCCATTCTTGTGCAAGCCATTTTCACTCTCTCTCATGCACACCGTTCAATTGAACTAATTAATTTCATATTTAATTTTATTCAATTACCATGCATTTCATCAATTTAAAATTTAATTTCATCAAATAAGAATATCGTTAAATTAACATTTACTTTTATCAATTCAACATTAAATTAATATTGAATCTCACCAAATTAATAATGAATTAACATTTAATTTCAATACATTAACGGTCAATTGACGACGGGTGGTGCTAATGGAGGTGGACACCCAAACTGAAGATTGATTCGAAATGTACATAATAAGTATGCATAGACCATTAGAACATCATTTTTATTTTTAACTTAAGCATTACAAATGAGTGATTATCAATGAGAGTATATTACGAGAAGTGAAATACTATTTGGACATAAAATGTGTACTTGATAATCACAATTATTGAATAGGTTATGAGTCTCAATAAATGTTGGATCTACAGTGAAATTAATGATTATGACTATCAAGTATATATTTTAAGTTCACTTTTTAAATACTAGAAATGTACTACACTAAAAAAATTCTTTGATTTCTGACTGGTAGATGAAAAATTTGTGATACATCAAGCACATGAGTTTCAAAAACAGATTCCATGAATTAAAGATGAAAGACATTAATTTTCAAGAAACTTTTTCTTGTTGTGGGGTTAATAAAAAAATTACCACCTTCTTGGTCTAAATTTAGAAGAATGCTTAAACAAAACCTCACATATTCTCTTTTAATGAGTACCTAATTTCACTTCGAATTGAAGAAAATCATAGGGAAACTCAAAAAGATAAACCTAATGTAGAAAAACAAACCAAGGCACTCCTTGTATAGAATCAAGCCTTAAAGCCAAAACCATAAAATTTCAAAAATAAAAATTTCATAAGCAAGCAAATTTCAGTAAACAAAAATAAAAAAGTAATAAAAACCTTGCTAGGTATGTGACAAGACAAATCATCATGCAAAAGATTGCTACTACTGTAAGGGTCAATCAAATAGGGATCATGGTCATTAAATTACACACAGCTCTCAAGTCAATGTGGTGACTATAGGGAATTCTATGATTGGCCCTCATAATATGTATATTTCCTATAGCTTCAAAGTGAATACAGTATATCAAACAAATAAATGGTGGATTAATTCTAGGGTTAATATTCATATGTGTTCTGACAAATCATTGATTTTCTCTTACCAAGAGTTAGACATCAGAAATCATAACTGTGAGTATGAGCAATGATAGCATTGCTAGAGTGCTTGGGGAAAGACGTGTTAGTCTTAAATTTACATCAGCAAAGATTCTTACATTGGATGGTGTCAAACATGTGCCTAATATTACGAAAAGTTTAGTCTGTGGGTCCTTATTAGTTCAACATCGTTATCGTGGTATATTTGAGTGTAATAAATTGTAATTAATAAGAGTGGTTTTGTTTATTGGTAAAGGTTGTTTGTGTGAAGGTCTTTTTAGTTAAATATAATTGTTTTGAATTCTAGTGATAATCAAACTTCTTCCTCAGTGGTTTATCATGTTGAAAGTTTGAGTGTTGGCATGAAAGATTAGGCAATAAACAAAAATGATGAGTTTGGAATTAATTCTTAAATCTGAAATTAAAATTCAAGAAAAATGTGAAATTTGTGTAAAACAACTTAGAGCCTTTTAAGTTGGTAGTTAGAAAAATCAAATTGCTTGAATTGATTCTTAGCAATGTTTGTGATTTAAAAAATATTATGACATGTGGTAAAAAAAATATACTTTGTAATTTTCGTATGTGATTATTCTAAATATTGTTTATATATATATATTTCTTAAGGACAAAAGTGGAAGTATTTGAAAATTTTAAAATTTATAAATCAAAGCAAGAAAATCAACGTGAGAAAAAAATAAGAATATTTTGAAAATTATGGAATTATTCATCAAAAAACATTGTCATTTGCACCTCAATCTAATGGAGTAGCAAAAATGAAAAATAGGACATTATTTGACATGGTAAATGTGATGTTTTTTTAGTTTTGATATAGCAAATAGTTTGTGGGGTGAGGTTGTATTTTCAAAATGTTATATGCTAAATCGTGTACCTTATAAAAATTATGATGAGACTCCTAAATTTACTATATCTTAAAAGTGTTGGGGTGCCTAGCTAAAGTAAATGTTCCAAAAAATTGAAAAAAAATAAAAGCTTGGATCTTAAACTATTGATTGTGTACTTATAGGCTACTAATAATGCACAACTTATATTGCAAGTGAAAATTTTTGTTGAAATATTTGATAAAATAAATAAAAAAATTTAATTATGAAGTTACATTAAATTATTTTGATTGTGAGTGAAGTGATAAGATAAAATAGCCATTTTTAGGCATCGGGGATAATATTGTATCAATGGAGTTGTCAACATCTAATAATATTAAGGTTTTGGAAAAAAAATAATGTTATTTTTATATATCATTTAAAGAATAACATGACTATGCAAAAGTTTTACAAAGATAGAGAGATTTGTATGATATGTTAGAGATTAATTTGTTATTTAAATATAAAGAAATGTAATGGTAATTGATGGTGTAAATCTACGTGATGCAGATCTATGGTGATGAACAGATGAGATGATCAGTATCTGACCCTTAGGATTTGAGCTACAAGGCTCGAAAGAGCGAGGATCGGTATCAATGGGAAATTGGGGAATTGACACAATGGAATTATAGTGGTTCATCAGTTCGGGAACTCGACTAATCCACTATTAAATGGAGATTCTTACTCCTTTTCTCTTTTCTAATCATTTAGATGGTTTACAGAATAGAGCATATGTTACCAAGGTTTCCTTTGTTTTGGGAGAGTTACATAATATTTATAGGGCTGTTTCTGGTTCTATGGGATCTGCTCCGAGATCCTTGTTATTTATCCAAGGAACTCTTCTTGATCTTAGGAGAGGATCTTGGCTGGTTAAAGATTTTATGCCTTTAATATGACTCTTTGCAACCTAACAGATTTCTGTTATCATCCAGCTGTTTTCTCATCATTTCCGTTGTTGGCGCGCCTAGGGGGAAGCTCTAGCTCTGATCTGAGTTTCGGATGTCTTTCCTGACTTCTTATTCAGACCTGTTTGTTTGACCTCTTGGTCTGATCTCCTAGCTCGACCTCATGGTTGAAAATTATTCTGAGTACCATCAGTAATTTATATCTTTAAATACAAAAAAACATGTTGTCCTTTATAGTTTTTTTCAAAGGTAAAATAGTGAATCAAAAGTTTTATAGTATAAATATAAATATAGATATAGATATAAAGATGGATATACAACATTGTTCTTAAGTCTATCTGCAATGGAGTGAAACGTCATACATGCATCAAGCATGCCCAGGAAAAATAATTGTGGTTTGTCACGAGATACACTCCAGAGTTTAACATTGTCTACATCCTATGATTGCAACTGTATATAGTTGCATTGTGACTGACTCAATTATAAGAGGATAAAACTTACAGACAGGTAATCAAGCACGCACAACATAATAACCATGTCGTACTTAATGTTGTTACCTACAATTCTATATATTATCTTCTTACCGTCACGGTGACAAGCATCAAGTCACCTCAAATGAAAAAGATTGAAGACCAACGGTGTCCAATAATCAATGGCCCTTGTGCAGCAGTTGGGCACGAGGTTGGAATTTTTTCAAGGAAAGCAACAAAGTCAATCAAATTCACAGCATGTCAAAACCATGCCAAGCACTGCATTATATTCAAGACATCGAATACCGATGCGTGGTAGATTATTCTTCTATAGGCTATGTTGATTATTGTTGTGTGATGTAATCAGAAAATGTATAATATGAGAGGCCATGCATCATCACTTGCTTGTTACGATCCATACTTATCAAGTTTGATTGGTATTGGAAGTTTCATATGTATGGAAGATCAATGTCTGTTAATTTTGCAATTGACGTGATTCTACCGCAGAATGATTAATGATAGGTTGTAATTAATTCAGATGGCAGAGTACACATGCCATAGTCTTAGTGAAAAATAGAGCAAGCAGCTAATGAAAGTTCAAACGTTCCAGAGCCCCTATAACCCCCTACGGATACATAGCAAAATTGGAAGGATAGGCAGAGACAAGGTTGAGCAGGATGAGTGTGTGTGTGGATTGTTTTGTTGTGATTATTAAGGCAACACGTGAATAAGTGGGTACATTGTGGTTTGTCTCTGTGGAATGGAGACGAGGTCGGATAAATTAGTTTTGAAAGAAGAAGTGCTTTTGCTTCGTCCATCTAAGGATAAATGGGTTTGTACTCATAGGGCTCCATCTTCCTGTGACTTTCTTTCAAAACGCTGAGTATTTTATTTTATAGGAGTAATGATCGAAAAATCTAATTTATTATATTAGTTATGAGTTTTAAAATTAGATAGAGTTTACTTTCAATCCAAACAGAGTTTCTTGGATTAGTGAATTTTAACTCTTTATAAGGAGACCCACTCATCCAAAGTTATGTATTCATTCGGGATACAAAATTTAAATTTCATGTGAGATACAAAGTATTATTGATTCTAAATTGTTTTATTTCCACTTTTGAAATTGTTTATTTGTTTCAATAACTAATAAACAAATACATATATATATATATATATATATAGAGAGAGAGAGAGAGAGAGAGAGGGCAATGAAAGAAAAGAAGGGAGCTAGAGGTGTCAAAGATTGAGTTGTAACTTGTATTTTGTATTTGTATTAGCTGTCAAATGCCTCCAAACACTTCTCACGGGGGATCTCTAGACCGTCCATTCCCTTTCTCTGCCCTCCGTCGTCCTTTTGCATTCCACTTATTTAAGTTTGTTATCATCCCCAAAACAAGGTGGTATACATGGACAAACTCAAGTAAACTGTATTCATTTCAAACAAAAAATGCAAACTACTTCTCTATTTGAGTAATGCAATTTGATTGAATTTATTTACCTAACATGTTGGTGTGCAGTTGTATTAGAAATGAGTTCCAATATTACATAAGATTCGTTGTCAAATCATATGCAATAATGAATTAGGTACAAATAAAGTATTAGGAGAAAAATAATTGATGTTGCCACCACTTCAACAAGCACCCGGGTGAACCAGTCATGGTAGTAGGATATTCATCATGTGTCCGAATTAAATCTAGATAACATTTTTGTATTGTTGCGTCTCTAACCTTGCATTAATCCTTCTTGTTTCCGTAGTTTTGGTGGCAACAAGTGGCGTCATCAATTATAATCACGTTCATATATAAAGGGCAAACTTGCAATTCTAGTAGTCTATTCGTATAATATCTTACATCGTGGTCTCCGGTGTGCCGTACGGTGGTCTCGTATGCAAGAAACAGACACAGGTTATATGGGTTTTGAGTGCCCATCTTCTCTTTAAATAACGCCAGAAACCTGCTGTAATCAGAGAGAGAAAGAAAGAGAGCGAGAGAGAAAGAAAGAAGAATAGAAGGGAAGGGCCTTAGCATGAGTTCTAAGGAGCAAAAGAGATCAGCTCTATATGAAAAGTTGCAACAACTCCGTTCCCTCACTAAGTCGAGCGCTGTAAGACCCCCTAACATTTTCATGCGCTTGTTTTCGTTTGGCTTTCATCTATTATATTTCCTCCCTCCATATCTACTGCATATACACAAACTATCAAGATAATTTTTTTGTTCGCTATCGTTCCATGGTTCCACCGATAGAGAGAGAGAGAAAGAGAGAGAGGGAGAGAGATTTCTGTGTTCGATTAATTCCTTTTACTGTTGAGTTATTAAACTAGTTTTACATACTTGGAAGGGGGCAGAAAATTATCAAACAAAATACAATTTATGTCACATGTGAGTCGATACAATTAGATAAATACGGAGCTAATTCTTCCAAGTCATTTTGCAATTAAGCTTCTGATTCCGATATTGGAACTTCCAGTAATATCGGAACTTCCAGTACAATCCCATTTTCAGTTAAAATCTTGACAGTACATGTTTAAACATTGTTATCATTTCTTGGTTGAACTTGTGTTTGGCAGGTGAGCAAAGCATCAATTCTAGTAGACGCATCGAAGTATATAGAGGAATTGAAGGAAAAATTGGAAAAACTGCACCAAGATGTTGCTACTTCTCAACATTTAAGTGACCATAATTCTTTACCTGTGGTATATGCTGCCATCTGCCTCTTTAGTTCTCTTTCATGAATTTTCTTTACAGTACATAAATTAATTTTTTTAATCCATCTGTTTTTCTTGTTAACATTTCATCAGGCTACTGTGGAAACCCTAGAAAAGGGTTTCCTTATAAATGTGTTTTCAGAAAAGAATTCTCCAGGTTTGCTTGTATCCATACTGGAAGCCTTTGAGGAGCTGGGTCTTGAGGTGCTGGATGCTAGGGTTTCTTGTTCAGATAGTTTCCATCTAGAAGCAGTAGGAGGCGAAGTAAGAGATCCGTAGCTTTCTTCTTGACCCTCTGTTTCTTTATGTTTTAGGCAACTACGTGCATTATATTTATTGTTAGAAATATGCACGTTGTCATTTTAAAACCATACAACTATGGATTTTTATTAAAGGAATTGAGCTAGAGCTTACTAACAAATACTAAATTACTTAGACTTGACTTTAGTACAAAACGGGCTTGTAAATTTAATTATTTCCGATTCATTTTCATAACGACCGAGCTTGAATGGGCTATAACTAAGGCAAACCCGAGCTAAGATCGAGTGGCTTGGCTCATTTAACAACCTTATTGTTTGCTGACAAATTGATGAGTGGTGAGTGTTTAATACATTTGTGCACCCAGTTGAGGTTTAGTGTCTCAGTTTGTTTAGTAGTCCTATATAATCATTTGTGTCATCTGTTTTTATATTTGTATGGATTACAATTTGGTATATTTTCGTATTATTGCATGTTCATATGTAATTAGTAATTCTATATTATTTGTTTATTTATTTATATTGAGAAGTCTTATTTTAATCTGCAGAATGAAGGACAAGTTGATAGTATAGATGCCCAAGTGGTAAAACAAGCAGTTCTGCAAGCAATCAGGAACTGGAAGGATAGTACTTGAGCAAGATTAACTTATCAGTTTTTTTTTAGCTTCTCTTCCTTTCTTCATCTTTCGGTCCTCATTTCTTGTAGCCTATCTCTAATTGCTAGTGAAAATGAGGTTTTAAAAATCTTTTGCTTAAACTGAACGATCAATTAAGGTTATCATAACAATTTAACAGCTGAAACCTAGACATCAAAAAAGAATAAAAAATGGATACAGATGATAGATAATTCCTTAGCATGCACTTATTCTCCATGAGTAGTTTGGTGATTAAGACTAAAGTGCTAAGTTTGCCGGACAGATCCTTCATCCAAGAAGCCATAAATAGACTGTTGTTGAATCAGATTACCCTAAGCTAGCCACAATACCCTGAACGAATTTGCTCCAACTCCGTTTGGAACAAAGTTTCTGCAATAAAAAAAAACAAGATATTTCCATTATACGTAGTTGAAAAAATCACAGCAAGTTACAGAAAAGGGATATTAATCCTTGTGTGGAAAGGGATTCAAAACCAAAAAATTGAAATATGAAAATGAAGATGAGGAGGCCCCTTTACTGTAAGAATGATCAGGATTTTTTTTGTTTAATATATATTAGTGGTATATCTATAAACAATCAACAACTATAATTTAGAATAATGTATTTATAGCAGAAAAGAAAACACCAATAAAAAAGGAAAAGAAAGTCCAAAAAAAGGGACATGAGAAATCAAATCTTCCCTTTGACAGGACAAGAATTGACTACTGGACTTGGGTAAAATAATATTGAAAGAATTAAGAGTAACCAACTAGGCTAGACCCAATTGATCGACAAAGTTTAGGATGAAAAACATCCTTAGCATGTGGCCGTGACAGGAATGAACTATTCACTACTTGAATTTTGTCTTATAATGAGGTTATATACAGTGGCAGATGATCGAGTTTGATCGAAATTGATGAAATTTGTTATGAAGGAGGTCCGGACCTCTATTCACAAGGGGACCCTTGGTTCAGCCTCTTCTCGTGGGCCATTAATGTTGATGGAATGTATGAATGAATACAAATGCGAAAGATCAGGCAAGAAGAAGAAGAAGAAAACAAAAGGCAGAAAGCCTGGTAGGTAGGGAATGGGATGAACCTGTGGCTTACCCATTAAATCAGTCCTATATATGCCCAAATTCATTCCCATTCTTGCTGATTCCATTGTTCAGCTCAAGCCCATAAACAATGCACCATTGTGTAGTATAGTGGTGCATTTTTAGATTTTTTTTTCAAAAAAATTAGGTAAATGTTTTATTTATAGAATAATAATTACACTATATATATTATCCTTCACTATTAATTTCCATCCATTTGTTGTAAAACTATTATAGTAGGTGGAATGACTGGCACCGATATTTGTAATTTATATAGCATTTGAAAATTTATATAGGATTACTATGCATATAAATTTTATTGGAATATCATTGTTTTATAAGTAATGTTAGATTGACAAACAAAGGAGATAAAAAAAAACACGGACTAAATGATATGATGCTTTTGGTCTCACTTTTATTCATTTAGCATTCAAAATTGAGCAATGTTATACTATATGAACCTAATTTGGTGACTTAATATGAAACCTAATTCAGTGCAGTCATCGGATTACTTGTGAGTTCTAATGTTATATGGAGTCTATTTTCAATTTAACAGTTAATTACGTCTCCAGATTAGTTCTCTAAATTAAGTCTAGCATTTTCCTTTAAATTTTATGTATTAATTATGTCATTTGAGCTTTGTTTTTTGGTCATATTTTATCATCAGTGTGTAACATTTCTCGTACTGCTAATGGTCTTAACTTCTCAACTAACAATTGAGATGCGTAATACTAGTCTGACCAAAAAATAAGACAAAAAATAGAGTTCAAATGATTTGACAGCTTTCATAGTAAATAAATATTGGATATTACATGAATAAAAGTGGAACTAAAAGTATTATTATTACGTGTTACATCATTTGATCCTTGTGCATTCTTTTGTCAATTTAGCATTACTCTTATTTTATTCCATGTCTTATAATAACAAATCAAATTTTCCATCTTTTTTCGCTTGCACTATGACGATATGAATAATTTTTCAGGCATAGACAAATTTTTTTTCTTTTTAAATCCAAATCATTATAACAACTTTTTGACGAAGTTTTGTAGGCATGAGTTCATGTTATTGCTGTACATGTCAATCTTGATGTGCACTTGGTAGTTGTTCTTGCAAGTTTTTCTAAAGTAGTTCCCACGGTTGAAAATAGTGAACTTAGTGGTGTAGGAATCTACAACTTAAAGGGAAGCGATAAATAACTTTAGTTGGTTTTAAATCAATCAATCAATTTTTAAGTCACTATGGAATGTTCCTGCACTAAAATGTTCGTATGTGTGTCTTTATATATTTGTATATATACACACACTTACTACTGGTTGAAAATTTTGAACATTATATTAGTAAGTGCGTTGGCCAGCAGACGTGATTTGTGTTGGGATACGAGAATCCCACAATAGATTAAAAAAGGGATTAAAAGTGTCGTTACATATAAAGTTAAGTATGTAAATGTATATTATCAGTTTCAAACAAAATTCAGCATAAATGGTTTAAGATTTATCCTAAAAAAAATTATTCCAACAAGTAATGTCGGAGCTGTTATTGATCATAGGATAATTCTAGTTTTATTTTTCCATGAATTTGAAATCAAACTCGAGTTTGGTGGAAGATAGAATGACAAGGTGCTTATAGTACATAGCTAGACAAACTTTGACACGCCATCACCAACTTCTTATGGACCACCCGGAGTAGTTTGGTCTCATTGTCTTATCTCTAAAGAGAAGATTGCTGATATGTTGCCTTGGTTAATCAATCATTAATTGGGAAAGATTAGAAAAACACAACACGGCACTTCGGTCGTATGTTCTTCCAGCAACTACATAACAGAAGTAGATTTGATTTAGGTGGACTAAGTGACTCTTTTTGTTATTTTTTTGATTGGAAAAAAGGTTCAATAAAAAAAGAATTCCGACGAAAACAAATCAAACATTAGCAGTAAAAAAACATAACAGAAATTTGACCAGCTAAGCCCCCATGGACTTCCTCTGCATCCATTGCATACTGTTTTCTACTCAAAAAACTTAGATTTTGGAAGCCTTTATCCAAGTTCTTACCTTCTCCGGTTTGATTTACAAGGAATAAACTGCCGAGTTGTTTTTGACAGTTCGGTAGGGTAGGGATCCGACTATGGCTCATATGATCTTTAAAGAGCGCCTATGGATTTCTTCGGTTTAGGCTCTCACCATCGGGTTAGGATTGTTATAGTTAGGCGCTTTTCGACTATGACTGATATATATTCATGTACGCATTTAAATTGCAGTAACTAGTTAACATTTCGTTAGTGTCAAGATTTTCCCAATACACATTTTCTGGTAGAATAACGATGCATGCAACACAATTATTGGAGAAAGAATCTTAGTTAGCACATCAAAATTAAAGTAGAGAAATTAGAGGCAACCTTTGAATGGTAAGAGGAGGTAGCTATCTGTCGTGTCATGGACCAGTAAGCAGTAACACTCGGTGATGCTGGTAACAAGAAAGAATAAGAGTAAATTACATTTTACCCTCTTGAACTATTATTTTTGTTTCACTTTATACTCTTAATTATAAAATTTCTCATATTACACCACAAAGTATCAATTTATTTCATATCAATTTAATAAGTAACAGCAAACTTACAAATATGTCAAGGAGCGACAAAATTCCAAAAGAACTTCATGTTAAGTGACTAAAACCATTTTATTTTATCTCTTTTACAATCAAACGATTTCTGAAAAAAAAAATCAAATGATTTCTGAAAAACAAAAAAAGGTTGCTAGAGGAAGAAAATGGTAAAATCGTGAATGAATATTTTTCTTGACTTTTGACCTACACACATGTAATAAATAGTTGTTTATTGACAATATAGACTACTCACATGTATAGTTATCGTCGAAATATTGACAATCATTATCTATTGAAGTGATGTATAACAAAATTGATACTTTAGAGTACAATGTGAAAAATATTATAATTGAGAGTATAAAATAAAATAAAGGTAATAGTTTAAGGGATAAAATATAATTTACCCAAGGAACAAACATTTTTACCTTAGAGTAGGGGTGACAATTGAGTCGTGTTGTGTTGGGTTCGTGTCGTGTCGAACATTAGTCAATCCATACCCAACTCATTTAACTATTCGTGTCGTGTCGAGATGACCTGTTTATTTTCGTGTCGTGTTCGTGTTCATATTCGTGTTGACCTACATAAATTTTAAATAAATAATTTAACACTAAGATTTTATTTTCACTTAATTGAATCTCTTCTCATACTTTTTCTACAAACTAAAAATTAACTTAATAATAATAATAATAACAATAATGAGTAATAATATCTTTTTTATACAATAATTATGTTAATACTTGATAAACAATTACAAATAATTAATATTTTATTTATATAATACTAATTAAATATGTTAATTGTACATCATACAACCAAATTAAACATCAGAAATAATAGAAAAAACAAGTCATCAAAACATGAAAACTCATACATGTAACGAAAAGGCTAAGTCAATCTCCTTCGAATTAAAAACTTTATGTTGACGTGTCAATTCGTGTTAAGCGGTTTGAACCCGAATACAATCTATTAACACTTCGTGTTGGCGGGTCGTGTCATACGCAGGTTGTGTCAAAAAATTAGTCAACCCAAACCTATTTATTCGTATCATGTTTCGTATCGGGTTATCGTGTCAGTATCAAAAATTGCCACCCCTACCTTAGAGCATCTCCAACAACAAATTGTATTTTAGCTACCCAAAAAATAATTTTTTCTATTTTAACTACTCACTTTTTCAATACACACTCTAACAGATTTTCTATATTTTTAACTACTCTTTTTAAATATTATTTTTCATTCCTTTTATATTATTTTTTTTAGGAATAATGAAAGAAAGAAAGAGATAGAATGGAAGAAATGAGAGGAAGAGAGAGAAAATAATATAAAATATGTTTACAAGTTGTTACAGTGATACTTTATATTTAAAATATCACTGTAACAAAAATCTATTTTAGAGTATTTAAAGAACATTTGTTAGAATATTTTAACTTTTTACTTTAATTAGCTAAATTTTAGTTTTTTTTTGTGCTTTACAGCATCTCTCGAAGATGCTATTAAGCAAGCGTGTGGGGACAGACATGACTGGGAATTCACACCCCTTTACAGAAGCAAAACCGTGTTTATCTTCGTGGTTTCACAGTCGTCTCTGCGCCAAATGTCAACTAAGACAGCTTTTGAACTGTTTATGGGAACACTTACAAAACTCTACACGAACATGAGATAAAGTTTATGTTGATTTTTTTTTTTTGTGTGTGTTTGGGCGGTGGGTGGGTGTGCACTGACTGAGTGTGACTTGCAATGTTTTTAACGTCATTGCCATTGTTTAGTATTGTGGATATATCTAGGCTTTTCATTCTGATTTGTATCTGTTCTGACATGAAATCAATTCAATTTTAATTGGAAAATTGTTTGTTGGTTAGTGGAGAGCCAGGCACATTGATATGTGACCTGAAAGAGACTGATGGCTCTTTAGAAATTTGATCACGTCAACATTTGAAAACCCTAATTTCATAAGGAGGCAAGGGTATTCGAGTATTGTAAATGCATTGTGGATAGGTGACATAGAGAAGCATGAGATCGAATAATAGAAATTATAATTTTTTTGATGATTACAATAATATCAAATTATAACATTTAATAGTCTTAATGATTCTTAAGAATATCAAGACAATTGAAATTGAAACAAAACTCATCTCTTAATTTTCTTTAAAATTATACAAATATGTTTTTATCACAATATAAATAAGAAATCCTGGTGGTCTTAAATTATTAGAAAAATCAAGCAAATATACAATATTACAAAATATCCTAAAAAAACGGTATAAAATATAGAAAAATACCTAAAAAATAGTCTAAACGTTGTTTTTTTTTTTTATCTTAAATACAATAAGATTGAATTCAATCTTAAATCGTCGAAAACTTTTCGAAATGAGATTTTTTTTTTTTTGTAATTTTTTGATTAAGTGACAAAAATCAGTGCTGATTGATACCAAATTAATGCTACTTTTGACAATCTTGATCTGTTATGTAATTATCTGTGTGTTATATCAATAAGTTATTCATTTTTTTGTCTTCAATTCAAAAAAAGTTTGGTAATCCTCATGTATAATAGTGTGACTTTTACTGGTGTGCAATGTCAATGGACACAAACTTTCAAGAGACAAAGTTTTCACAAAATAAAGAGTACTGTTAAATTAAAGACCAATTGATATTGTATTAATCTATTGTGCAATGGTTGTCAATTTCTTATGTTATTTGACTGAATGATGGTGGCCTTACCAGCTATTTTGTTTGAAAGCAAAAAGAAATTATTTACTTCCAAAATTTTCATTAATTGAAGCTGATAGATTAATTAAAAGATTCAGTTGTAAATATCTTAAAAGAATAGTCAACTAGAATTATAAGTATAAAATGAAAATTTAAAGGTATAAAATGAGAATTGTAAAATTTTTCAAAATATAAAGTATAATTTGCACTAATTTAAAGGACCTCTATTGTGGACACCGGAAATCTATTTGATTACTAATCAAATCTCAGGTTCTAGATGCCAGTAGGGCAGGTTCATGATGATCCAGACATCTTCATCATGTTCCTGGCTGTATCCGGCAGACTTCAAAACTCGACAGACATGAGATTCTTTATTTTCGTAAGTTTTACTAGTCACCCAACAACTATGAATACTACGTCTCCCATAACTTGGCCCCAATCTCCGCTGGATCCTCGACTTGCTATATAGGCAAGTAATATCGACTAGATTGCATCATCAACTATTATATTTACTATAAAATGGTGATAATATTGTATTAATTATGTATATGCGGTATATATTTACTTGCCTCAATTGATAAAACAGTTCGGATTGATTTGATAATTATTTTCCAAGTGGCTAGCAAGCAACATTCAACAGAATCAACACCGTAAAAAGCAAAGCTTCGAAATATGGCCTTTGTAGTTTAATAACAAAGGAAAATGCATATTTCAACAAACTCATCGCCACTAATTAAGAAGGTGTATAAGGGAAAGAGAGGCTCATCACATAATCCAATGCTCTAACAGAACAAGAATAAGACATTTTGTAATTATGTCACTATTTCTACGAAGATCTGCGTCACTCATTAAAAAAAATGTATTAGGATCCAGAGTTGCCTACAATTGTACGTTACCCAAAAAAAATATTTAATATTTAATATTATAAATATTTATTATTTTTGTGGTTGATTTATTATTGTTATGAGTGTTTTTATTATAGTCGTGGTACCTAAACAAATGGTAAAATAATAGTAATAAAAACATCCATAGCAATGATCAAAATGCTCACAAAAGTCATAAATTACCCACAAAAACGATAAATTTTTTATACCGAAAATAAGTGATAAAAATAGTTATTATAACAGTAATAAAAATACCCACAATAATAATAAAAAATATCCATAAAAGTAATAAATTATCTACAGATTTTTTTGTTATAAAATGACACAAAAATTATAAAATACCATTGAAATAATTAAATTTAGAGATAAACTAAATGATTATTGATTTGGAAGACCAGACTTTCGCGGTTCAATCATATAGGCCAAAGAGTACAACTCCCTGAAAATGACCCTTGAAAAGTCTTATGGAATGGAATCTGGTGTTCTGTTAAATTTTCAAAGGCATGGCAGCCTGTCAAACTGTACAGCCTAAAAGCTTAGCCATCTCTTTTTACTACACTTGCCAAACAAACAAGATTCTTCGTTGCAACCCTTTCACACTGCTGTTGTCGACTCAACATATACACCAAAAAAGCTGTACGTAACGTACGAGATTTTTGTTATTTAACTCCTTTGTAACTTTGTGTAAAGTTCCCAAGTTGTGTGTAGCATTATCAAGACTCCTTGTACCTGTGTATGCAATTATACATCTGTATGTAATTAATGGATGTTAAGAGAACACCGACTAAATTTGAGGATTTAATGAAAGATCTAATTGTAAGTGATAATATTAGATAAAATTTATTTTTAATTCAATAATTGTAATTGATTAAGTCACAAATTAAATACAAATAACATTTTTAAAAAAAGAATGTTTATCAGGCTACTCTTACATGAAACTTAATTAAGGGGGAATAATGGACACCCTTGATTAAAAGTCCACATTTGACCTAGATAAATAACTCTATTCCCGTACCCAAAACATAAAAGGCAATAACAAATGCTCACAAAGCAAACAAAGGCATGTTCTTTTGGCAAAAATAAATAAATAAATAAAATTAAGGCATGCTCTGTCCTATCATACCATTCTCGTTTGGTGATTCTAAATTGACCAAAATAAATAAACAAATAAAGAGATAAAATAATGTGATGCTAAAATTATGATAATTTTGTAAAATAATTTGGTTCGTCATATTGAAGAAAGTCATATTCAATTACAGTGGTTTCTTCTTAGGGTACTGGGTGCTGGATTTATGCTTACCTGCTTGCTCGAATTAGGCTTCTGTGTGTTTCTCTCTCAGCTCGCGTTTGCCACGTCCTGCAGGAGGTGAATCAGGCTACAAACTTCATGACTAATTGGGTTTGCTCTCAACAGTTCAATCAGCGATTCTCTGGTTCGTCATCCTTTCCTTCTAGGATTGCTGACATTCTCGTCTTGGACGCTTGACAAACTCCTCACGTTCGTCGTTGAATTTTTATCTTCATTAATGTTTTCAATTATTTTGTTTTGTGGGGATTCCCCACTTTGTTTTTCTATTTATTTATTCTTCTTGCTTTTGGTGGTGAGTCACCACTTTATTTTTGCTTTGACTTTCTTCCACTTTTGGAGGTTTGACTCTATGTTCTCCTCCCTTGTAATTTTTTTCTTTTAAGTTATATATACAAGTAGGAGTCCTGTCAAACCCCCAACCCACCCTGGGTGGCTTTGAAGAAAAAAAAAATGCATACTGCCTGTCAATCCCTATGTATTATTTAATCAATAGGTCACCAAATAGATTTTGTTAATGTCATTAATTTTTGAAAGTACTTATTTTATCCCTATTGAAATTAAAGAGTAAAAATCCACGAAAGTAAAAACAAATTGACAATCTTAAAAAAAATTATGAGAAAAATGCTGGACTCCTCACTAATCTAGTAGTGAGGATAAGTGAACCTGCTTAATCAAAAAAAAATCTTAATAAAAAAAATGTCTTGTTGTTACGTGATATCACTATTTAATAATAAACTTACAAATAAATAAGTAAACAGACCTTCTTTAAATGGAGTAGCTAGTTTTTTTTTTATGAAGGAGATAGATACTAAATATTGCTAGTTCATTTATATATTGTTAGTGTTTGTATATATATGTTGATTTATTATTGGTGAGAATATTTTCTCCTGAGGAGATGGAGAAAATATTGAATGTAACGGTAAGTGGTGTCACCATTCAATAATAAAATAAATCAATATGTAAGCAAGTGAACTTCAATTAATATAGGAACTACCATGTTTATGGAATAAAATAACTGTTTTATGTAAAAAAAATAAGGTTCACATTGTTCGTTTGTAGATTTATTATTAGATGTGACATTATATAATATTGATGACCTGGTGTTAACCTTACATCAAATATTTACTCAAGGAGATGGGGTTTCTCTCGTCCGGGGGAGGAGAGGTGTATGCGGTGGGTTCAAGGTGGGGTTTGGTGAGGGTAGTGAGAGGGAGGGGAAGAGAAAAAGACAAAACAAAGAGATGGGTGGGCCAATTTTTGGGTCTCACTTGACTTTGATCGAAGGACAAAATGATCATCCTAACATATTCCAGAACACAATTGATTTGGATTGCTTCTAAAAGTGTAAATATATATAAACTTGTAGGATAATTCATGATTACCCTAAATACAATTCTTACCCTAAAGACAATTCTCCCAACTTACTCGTACCATTTGAAGTTTAGTGACAAAAGACTTGGCGGAAGAATATCGCAACCAAAGATGTATATATATAGCTCAAGATATGTCATGATCGTATGAGCAATAGAGTCCATATATGTCAAGAATTTATCATAGCTTAACATAGGTGCTACTTCATATATAACAATGAACTCCTTACATTGGTGATGTTCTGATCTGTCGCTCGAGAAAATATTCAGTGCTCACAAGTATTACATTACAGTGTCATATGCGTACATCAATTATAAAACATTATCTGTTCTCAATCGTCACTTGTGAAGTTCTGAAGTTGTCAGAATTTATTTTGAACTTATCAACAAATGTTGTGACAATTTGTACATTATTAGATGTAGACACCACATGACAATGCCACCTTGATGGCTTATAAGTGTCTGAATATTTTCTCCTGCTGCTCAAGGGCTTATAGTAAAAATACTTGAATCAAGATACATGCATACTCTTGACGATATAATGAGCAGTAAATCTTCTTGGAGGTGAATACCCATAAGTAACAACCCTATAATCCAAATAAAATGACAGAAGCTCAGCCTCCACCCCCCCTCCCCCCCTTAAATAATGTTTTTAATCTATATTTAGGTGACCACATAACTTTTAACTCCTTCAAGGCTTCAATCCCTCTATGTAAATCATAATTTTATTATATACCCACATATGAAAAGTTGACTAAGACACTAACGAAAACGCAGAACACGGCTGAGTCGTCTCTTGTGTACTATAAATACATGAACAAACCTACAGAACTTAAACCAAGCACCGAACAAGAAGCTCTATTCTTTTTCTTCTTCTTACTCTCCTTATTCTTTCCAAGTAAACTCTAGTCATGGCTTCCTTGTATTCTTGTTCATTGGCACCAACTATTGCATTTGTGGCCTGGTTATTCCTTCTTCTTGTTGGAATGAGCTCTGCTCAGTTGTCCACCAATTTCTACTCGACGTCGTGCCCTAACGTCCTTTCTACGATCAAATCTGCTGTGGACTCTGCTGTCTCAAATGAGGCTCGCATGGGGGCGTCCTTGCTTCGTCTCCATTTCCATGATTGCTTTGTTAATGCAAGTCTTCGTTTTCTTTGTTTTTCTATTGATTTTATTTTTTCTGTTCCTCTCTGCATGTGCTAAATGTACCTATGTCGTGCGTCTTTGCTTAGGTGTATTACTTTTATTTTCTTACAGAATCGAACTTGGCATTGACTGTTCTTATTGACAGATTGATGGATCCCTAGCTATATTAAATTCCACTATGCTTATGATCTTTCCTCTCACCTCTCATTGTAGACGTGCCACTCTTATATATATATATATATATATATATATATATATATATATATATATATGTGAATAAGAGGACCATGGTAAGAAGGTTCTACTTGACTTAGTACTAGATTTACCCACTCTATTTGTATTTTACTACTAATTGTTCTGGGACTTGATTCATTTAATTAATGGGAAGGTTAGATGGCTTTTGCTCAGGATGCAACTATAGCCACCTTTTCTGTGGGCAACAAAGGATAAAAATGAACCACAAGCCATTGCTGACCACCCTGCCCTAGTTTAGATCCATCTTCCCTAATTTACTTTGGCATCGACCGTATTTAATGACTAGAAATTATGCTCATAAAGTGTCATTATGAAAGTGAAAAGATTAACCAAGACATTGATTGATTAGAATATTGTAAATCTCCATGTTCGTAACACATCATGCAATCAATAAATTTGACTTTCGCAATGCCTTGTAATTAACCATGCTTTTTAACTTTTTTTTTTTTCATTTCATATAACACTTGTTGTCTTTTTGCGAGTGCTCGTCCAACTGTAATCAAGAATCTATTTTTAGCACATGATTTCGTAGCCATGCATTTGAGCAAGACATGCATGGGACCTAATGTTGCTAAAGTTACCTGCATTATATTATCATATCTGTACCATTTTGAGTATGAACACAAGACTTCGATTCATTTCTATACCATTCTGATTTCTGAGTATGAACACTTTTGAGTCACACGCTAATGACTTGACCTTAAAATCACCCAATCTCAAGCAAAACAATTAATGGTGTTGATGTCCAATGTTTACTCAGAAACAAAGAAATAAACTAACATGATAAAAAAATATCCAGTATCATGAGCTTAGTAATTATCACTAACCATGAAAGGTTTGAGGTTAACATGCTTGTATGACATTTTTAAAATAGGGATGTGATGCATCTGTGCTGTTGGATGACACGGCAAACTTCACTGGAGAGAAAACAGCTCGTCCAAATAACAATTCATTGAGAGGATTTGATGTGATCGATACCATTAAAACCCAAGTGGAAACGTTGTGCGCACGTACGGTTTCTTGTGCTGATATCTTAGCAGTTGCTGCTCGAGACTCTGTTGTCGCGGTAAGCGATTCATCAGACTTCGCCCAGGCTATAATCCATATAAAATACTTTATTATGAGATTGTAAACTCTCTACAAATTATTACTTTATATTAGTATCATTTTTTTATATTCATGTTTTTGAATTTCAGCTTGGGGGCCCTAGTTGGAATGTCCTACTAGGGAGAAGGGACTCCACAACTGCAAGCTTGAGTGCTGCTAACAGCAACATCCCTGGACCACAATTGAATCTCAGCGCCCTCCTAACTGCCTTCTCAAACAAGAATTTAAATGCAAGGGACATGGTGGCTCTTTCAGGTGTGTTTTGAGTTCTATTCAAGAAACTACTTCCCGGTTCATATTTTCCGGCACTTTTTAAACTAATTTTGACAACTATGGTCATCATAAAACTGAAATAAATCCTACAATTTTCCTTCCCTTGTTTGCAGGATCTCACACAATAGGCCAAGCTAAATGCTCAAGTTTCCGAGCCCGCCTCTACAACGAAAACAACATAAATTCCTCATTTGCTACATCATTGAGAGCAAATTGTCCTAGCAGTGGAGGTAATGATAACCTATCTCCACTTGACACCACAAGTCCAACCACATTCGATAATGCTTACTACAAGAATTTGCAAAGCCTAAAGGGACTTTTGCACTCGGACCAGCAGCTCTTCAGTGGGGGTTCAACAAACGCTCAGGTCAACACTTACAGTTCCAACTCAGCCACTTTCTTCACAGACTTTGCAAATGCCATGGTGAAGATGGGAAACCTTAGCCCACTTACAGGCACAAGTGGCCAGATCAGGACCAATTGCAGGAAAACTAACTGATTACTGGCACTAAATTGTAGAGACAGTCATGTTGAGTGTTTGATTGTTATTTTTGTTGTTGACTATCTTCATCATCATCTTGTATTTAGGTTGCTAAGAAGGAAGGCAATAAAGGCATTAGTTTGGATGGTTTCTATGTCATTTGATTCTGTTTTAGAATCACATTTAATAAGAGTTCAGAGGTGTAATTATTTAATGATATGCGTTATGAGCTGTGAAATTGGTATGTTCCTTAAGTTCATACCCTTCTCAATAATTATGCCACTTTCCATTTCAGATTCCTTAAGTGAGTGGTCCTGCAGTTGGCCCCAGTGCTATGCTTTCACCTGTTAAGAAAAGGGTAGAAATGGGTTGATCAATGTACGTAATTAGGGAGTTCTAAATTGCAGTAGGCAAGTAATTCCAGATAATGACTCATAAATTTGACACAAAATTAACAATGAGCCCGTAGATTTAACTTTAATCTAAGCAGATTCAGACAGTAAACTAAGCTCGACAATTAAATAGATTAACATAAATCCAACTAAACACTGACTAATGAATTGGGTTTATGCTGAAAATCCTTTGACTCCACAAGAAGGACCGAGCAAATACAATCCATTACCAGTCCTAAGTTGCAATGATCCATTACCAGTTCTAAATTGCAGTTCTTTCCCGTTGGCTAAATTTAGTGGCCTAATTATTAGCCGAACCCACATGGCCTTGTGTTCTTTCTTTAATGAAAGAAAAGATTTGCATGGTATCAAGAATAGATTTGAATTGAAATTCAAGTGTCTTGTGGCAACCCAACGGTAACTTCCCTATCTTTTGGGCAACGGTCACCACATGGTGCTTGGGGTAGAAAGTAGAAAGCAAAATGGAGCTGGGTTCGGTTTCCCTGGAAAGCAGGCAGGCTCGTAATAGCGAGTGTTATTATGACCATAACTTTCGTTAGAATTTCGATCACTTGACGCATTAAGTTTCAACAGTAACGATTAGGCTAACCGCTGTCCTGCTAACATTACTTTCTTCGGGACTTCCAATTTTCTTGTCATTGCCCATTCAATCTGTCTCTCTCTGCACAATCTATTGTCTCTTCTCCAATCTACAAAGTATTTTCGACTGTATCCTTCTGTCTCTTAAGCTAGCTTAGTACAAACACCCTTTGAAACACCAACTACACAATCCCCATTCCTCATCGTTGAGTTCTAGGGTGGGTCCGTTCAACTATTTTGTCTTTTGATGGCTGCCCAAATCTTAGATTGCGGTAACCAACTAGTTTCCGGAACCCTAGAAGCGGGAAAAGTAGCTAATGAATATGCTGATTCGGGTTTGAAAATGGAGCCCATACCCACCGAAGGTGACCCGAGTTCGGAGAAGAAGAGGAGTTTGAGGGTGGAGATTGACACGTCTGCGCCGTTCGAGTCGGTGAAGGAAGCTGTGAGTCGATTCGGTGGAATTGGGTTTTGGAAACCCAATGCTCAGAAGCTCTATTCTGAATCTTCTGAGGTCTCTCTCTCTGTCTCTCGCACGTATATACACACACACACACACACAAAGTAGAGTTTCAGCTACATTTTATGGTGGCAATATATCTATCTATATGTATATATATGGGTAACTTTTTGTTTTCAACCATATTGCGTCAAATTTTTGTATTTCCTTTGCCCCTTGTGCATGCGAACTAGAGTGAAGAGTGGTGATATATATATTTGAGCGCAGCATTGAAGCTTTCACGTGGCTTCCCCTCATTGTCTATGTGCAGAAATCCGTAAAATCAATGCTTGAAAAGGAACAATACCACACTGTTAAACTGTCATTTGCCACCATGAATCGAATTTTGCTCGTGGTGTCCAAATACAGTCCCTAGTATAACCTGCTGACCTTGTTCTTCCCAAGTTTGTTTGCTTGAATTCGGACTCTGATTTTTAATGCGATGGAGTGGTTCAAGACACTTGGGGTGCAAACTGTAAAGTAGTCTTCACTTCTATAAAGTGCACTATCTGGCTCGTGGGTGTATCTTTCTATCTCGAACTGCAGTGCATACATTCTGAAGTTTATTGATTTTCTGCCCTAGTTCCCATATTTTTTAGAGCAGAGTATTGCTTTTTGTCAATAGCATATGTGAACTATATAACAAGTTTGTTGATCTTTTTAGTATCTAAAAAGATGATTAGATGTTAGTACAGCACAGTGGCTCTTTATGACATTGTTTGGTGTTTAACATGATTAGATTCTAAAAATTATAGATGGTTCTTCTTTTTTATGAACTTTGCTGGCTGCACTTGTTCAATGTGATGGAAAAAGGATTCGTACTCTATTTCTTATGTGCATGTTCCAGAAAATAAGCTGGAGTCACTGGTTTCATTCAGTCTTCGAATCCTGATAGAATCCATCTTTATCTGACATAATTCTCATTTCTTTTGCTTTTGCTTTTTTTTTTTTTTAATTTTATGTATTTGTTTTGAAGTGAAACAGAAAGACCTTAGATGAAGTTGATCTGTAATAAAGTGATGCACCACCCCTTTCATGCCGTGTGACACAGAAATGAGTTTGCTTGCATTCAATATTGAAGCCCTCTGTTGAGAACGTAAACTACAATTTTGTGTATTTATTTGGAGATCCTCAACTCAGATTCCTAGTTCCTTAATTGTGTATCTACCATCCCTGAACCACCTTCTTTTCTATTTCTTTCTATGGTGAAATTTAGTAAGTTCTATCGTCATAAGGAACAGAAACAAAGATTAACAGGAAATGTGTATTTGATATATATTGGATTATGATTGGATGAATGTGCATACGAGGATGTAGACTTTTAATTCCTCTTTGCTTGTTACTTCCTTTTTTCCCTTATTCATTTTTCTTTTCACTATACCACTGTTTTGAGGTTTTTATGCTTATTGTTAGCTTGACATTGGCGTGGTTGACACTGCAAAAGTGGAGGAACAGGCTGCACAGCTAGAGAAAGATTTAATAGTTAAAGAAAGGGAAACACTTGCGGTATTAAAAGAACTGGAAACAACTAAAATGATTGTAGAAGAACTGAAATCAAAGATACAGAAAGAAGCATTTGAAGTCAATGCAGTCCTTAGCACAAATTCAGAGGATAAGAGTGTGATTGCTGCTGCAGAAGTAGATCAAATGGAAAGACTAAAAAATGTTGTGATTGACCAGCAGAGTTTGGTGGGTGGTTTGGACCTGTGTCCCTCTTCAGCTCCTGGTTTCATTTTAATTGAATTGAAACAGGCCAAATTGAACCTAACCAGGACTACAAATGATCTTGGTGACATTCGAACTGCTGTTGAATCATATACCAAGAAAATAGAGAAGGAAAAAATATTGCTTGAGAAGACACGTCAGAGGTTGTCTTCGAATTCCTCAAAAATTTCCTCTCTTGAAGAAGAGATAAACCAGATGAAGCTGAAACTACAACTGATCAGAAATGCTGAAGTTAAAGATGGTGTTGATAATAATCCCATGGATATTTTGATGGAGCTCCAACGGCTGAGTTCTGAGATGGAGCAGTTCAAGAAAATGGGAGAAGCAGCAATGTCAGAAGTTTCGAGTGCCATGTCTGAGGTTGAACACTCGACGACTAGGATTAAGACTGCTGAGATCAGATTGATTGCAGCCAGAAAAATGAAGGAAGCAGCTAGAGCCTCTGAAGCTGTTGCTCTTGCAGAGATCAAGGCGCTATCAAACAGTGAGAGCTCATCTTCAGTTCTTCAGTTAAAGGCTGATAGTGTAACTCTTTCATTTGAAGAATACTCTTCCCTAACTGCTAAAGCTCGAGAGGCAGAAAATATTTCTAAGAAGAGAGTTGTAGATGCCATGCTTCAAGTTGATGAAGCCAATTTATCTAAATTAGAGATCTTAAAGAGGGTAGAGGAAGCTACGGAAGAGGTAAAAATCAGCAAGAAGGCATTGGAAGAAGCTCTGAGCAGAGTGGAAACGGCAAATAGAGGGAAGTTGGCAGTTGAAGGGGCTCTGCGAAAGTGGAGATCTGAACATGGTCAGAAAAGACGCGCTGTACATCGCTCTACCATGTTCAAGAATTCTTGCTCACCTCTCCTTCGCAAAGATTCTCGTGTGCTTGATGTAAATGGACTGAATTTGATTAATAATGAGTCAAAGCCGGTTTTGAGGTCCACTCTGTCGATAGGGAAAATACTGAGCAGAAAGCTACTTCTGACGGAGGAATATGAGAATGGAATGCGGACAGGAAAAAGCAATGGGAAGCGGAAGGTGTCATTGGGTCAAATGCTAAGTAAACCCAATGGTGATCTACTTCCTTTTCAGAAGGGTGAGAAGGATGGTGGTCGCAAACAGTTCCCTGCAAAGAGAAAGAAGTTTGGGTTTGCTCGGATATCACTCTTTGTGACAAAGCAAAGTAAGAAAAAGAAGAAACAAACTGCAAGTTCAAGGTGCCACAGTGGGTATATAAATTGATTCAGACCAAGAAACTAACTTCTCACAACCTGTCTCTCTCTCTCTTCATGGTTTATAATTATTCTCACAACCTCCCCTATTTATCCTATTTTGTTATCAACTTTGCTGGGGTTCCTAATTTTCCCCGATCTCATCCTTTTGGGTAGTGTTCCCTCTGTTTTGGTGGTTGTTTAGTCGACACTGCGTTTTAAGATCATATGTATGGCTTTGATATTCCCTCATTCCCTGCATGGAAAGTTGCCAACGAAACATCATATCAAGTAGCACATTTTGTGATATGCCTAGGTTGTTAACATGATGTACAGTTAGCAAGCTTGATGGAAGAATGGTGATCTTCTGTTTGAATGTCGAATCATTTGATCATAACCATCTTAAATATATTATAGGTAAATTTTTGCTCGGAACTAGCTCTCATTAATTAACAATTGCAATAGTTTGAAAGTGGTTTACATTCTTTGTTGCTTCCTTCTGGAATATGGAAACTGTAAGAAGCAAGAAGTTGATCAACAACAAAAGAAAGGGGAAAACAAGAAGAAAGAAAGAAACAAGTACTTGTTTGCAACAGTCTTCTTCGTTGATGGCTTTTAACTCGGTACTTTCTACATTCCTTATTTCCCTGCTCTTCTATGGATTTGGAGGGACTTGAGTAGGGGTAATTGAACAAATCAAAATGTATATCCTAGATGTACCTTCAAAATATGCATCCATTTTAAAATGTTCGTTAATTTTCAATTGTCTCATATTATTCCTCAACTATGTAAAGCCTATCAATCATTCCATTTCAGTCAAATTTTCATCAAAACCAATGAAAAAAATCATTAAACTTATTTTGTTTTGTCCCTTAAACTTCTATTTTAATGGTGGAATTGAATGGATGAAATTGATTACTATACTTCACATCAATTCATCACTAAATTGAGGTACTAGGAAATTGAGGGGCATTTTAAAAACAAAAAGTGTAATAAGTGGGTAATTTATTGAATTTTTTTATTAAATAAATACGAGTTTGTAAATCAAAGAGTCATATTGTAATGTTAATGATCCCTATTAATTTAATAATTTATATTAATTTGGTAAGAGTGGCATTAGTCCGGGTAGAAAGTTCTCTTCAAGTTTTGAAGATAGAGCAATACTAGACTGACTTAAAAATTTAACTTGATAATGTGACTGTTGTATTTGTTATTGATTTAACTGTGAGTTTCAATATTTATTAGGATCCATAGACTATTCAGTGATAATGATTCATCAGATCAAGTTTTTAACTCAATTTTTGAAGTGTTTTTAGCATTTTCCTTGAAGATATTCTCCGCAAATACAGGAGAAAATATTGAATGGAATAATTACACCACATCATCAATGTTACATTGTGTCACCTATCAATAATAGAATATCAAATAAATTTAGTGAGCTCTATTATTTTAATAACTATCAAAATCACTTTATCTAATAACTGTGATATTGGAATAATAAGGTTCACTAATTTTATCTATTCTTAGTAATGTACAACATACGTTGCACGTAAACAAGTGTAAATAATATTATTTTATAAAAAACATAAATTATATGAGTAATTAAATTAAATAATAAATTAGTTGTCCAATAATTAATCTATATATTAATTATTACTAAATTTAATTATTAATTTATTTTATAAGTTTTTGAATAACTAATTTGTCATTTATTTATTTATCTCTCTGATCCTTTTAGTTATTTGTCTATCTAATTATATTATAAAATTATTAATTTTTTTGTCAAAAAAATTGATTAGACCGCTTATAATATTATTATACTAGGGGTAACACGTGCCTAAAGACATGGTGCAACACAAATCAACCAATTAATTTGGAAAAGTGAGGAGTGAAGATCCCTGAAAACAGTGGCAGAGCCAAAAATATGATTTAGGGTAGACACACTTTAAGTATAATAGATAAAAATAGTGTGATATATTTATATTTTTTATATTAGATTTGATACTTAAAAATTCATTAAACATAAAAAATGTCTATTTGAAAAAAAATTAATAAGATAACATCTATACATTAAGGATCAATAATATAAATGTTACACTACACAGTTGATATTAATTGTAAATTTGAACCATTTAATTATTATGTTAGAGAAAATCTTGTGATCCAATCTTTGACTAGTTGAGAGGAAAAATATTAAGAAAAAAATGTTAATTTCTTGACCGTTGGATAAATAAATTTGAGATCATAAGATGTGTTTCAAGATCAGCTATAATCGTTGACCGGTTGGGAGGAGAAATATTAAGGGAAAAATGATAATTTCTTGACCGTTGGATGAATGAATTTGGATCGTAGGATGGACTTATACAAACCACCCTATTTTGACACAAATAAAAGCAATATTCTATAATTTTTTTAATTACAAATTCTATATTTTACTCATTTGGCTATGTATTCCATAATTTTTGAATCAAATGAGGTTTCAACAAATCATACCAATATTCTAAATAATTAATTTTAATTTGCTAATTTTAAGAGATTGATATGAACTTTTTGTTTTTGTTTTTATGTTCTAGTACCCAACTTATTTGACCTAATTAATTTTATTTTTCATAAATCATTGCAGTGGGCACAATTAATCCAAAAAAATATATAAAACTTATATAACTAAAAATATATTTTTCAGGGTGCCCCTAGACCCTTCTTCTTCTGCCATTGTTAGAGAGAGAGAAAGCAAGTGAAAAGTGAGGAGAAGAGGGGTAAAATTGAATATGAATGATTTTGAGAGAGATGTTGGTGGTCGTTGGATGAATGAATTTTAAACCGTAGGATAGACCTGTTGAAGTCGCTCTACTTTATATTAAGGATATTATAGATAAATCTACAAAATATGATAAAATTGACTTTAAAAAAATGTTAATTTATATATATGTAATCAAAGTCGAGATAAATTTAATACAAACTAAAAAATTAATTTATTAAAAAGCATATTGCCAAAATATTTTTTATCAAAAAAAGATCTACAAATATCATTTATAAAATATTATTTTTTTAATTAGTATAAGGTACTACAAAATTATTAATTTAAAAGAATATATTGGCGTTGGATTTCCTTAAGATATAAAAAAAATTAATCTTGAATTTTTTATTCAAGATATGTATAAGATATATTAGTTTGAAATAATTAATTAAATAAATAAAATTAAAATTAATTATATTCAATATAAATGTGTTAAGCAATGCCCTTGTTTTTTGTTTATCTTAAATTTATGAGTTTTTTTTAATCAAAATGTTATCATTGTATAGCTTATACAATTCAAAATATTACACTACACATATGATATTAAATGGCAAATTTGACTCATTTAATTATTATGTCAGAGAAAATCCTGTATTCCAAGATCAGTCGTAATCGTTGACCGGTTGAGAGGGAAAATATTAAGGAAATTTTTTTTAATTTCTTAACCATTGGATGAATGAATTTGAAACCGTAAAATATGTTCTAAAATCAATCATAATCGTTGACTTATTTAGGAGGAATATTAAGGAAAAAAATTGTAATTTCTTGATTGTTGGATGAAAGAATTTGAGATCGTAGGATTAACTTATTGAAGCCACTCTGTTTAATATTATAGATTATAGATTATAGTTTGCTAAAAAATATATTTGACGTAGAATTCAATGTGATAACTACATATATATAATAATTTAATATATATATAGGATTTTACTTCTTCATATAGATATAGAAAATTGTATGTAACTATATTACTAATAAATGAGTTCAAAAGAATTTAAAAATCCTTATAAAAAGAGTTTTAAAATAAGTTGAAAATCAAATAAGAGTAAAAAATAAAAATTGGATAAAAGTATATAGATGTGTATAATTAATTTTATTACAATAATTAGGAATAAAATAGAAAATTAAAAATAATTTAATATATATAAGACTTTACTTCTTTATATAGATATAAAAATTTATATATAATTATTACACTACTAATAAATGAGTTCAAAATAATTGAAACGTCCTTATAAAAAGTTCAAAATAAGTTAAAAATCAAATATAAGTAAAAAATAATAATTAGATGATAGTATATAAGTAGGCATAATTGATTTTATTACATTAATTAGGGATAAAATAAAAAATTAAAAGTTTTTCGTAAATGCTGATATTTATAAATGGTATAGATTTTATATTTGATTGATAATATGGTATCACCGACAAAGAATAACTCCAGACACATGGGAACACAGCTCATGGCGGTCTTTTTCGATTCAAAGGAGCCAACAACAACGCAGCCTTCTTCTGAAAGGAAGAAAAACACATTGCTTGGAGTGGAAGGTGAGGAAGAAGCAAGAGTCAGTAGCTAATTTCTTACCCTTCTCCTCGTCCGACTCTCAGGAACCATGCAGACCCAAACCGTCTTGCAAATCTTTTGCAATAAGGTCAAATTCTATCCTTATGTGTGGGTTATGCTTCTCTATGGATTTTATAGATATGACTGAATTCTGAATGTGATCTATGGAATTCTTTTCAGCGATATTATTACCCTTTTTCAGTTTGAGAAGTAAAATGTTGTTCTGTTCTATATACTACTATATAGATTCAACTTGATTGACCCGTTGTTTGTTGTATATGATCATCAATTATGTTCGAGTTCGAATAACAAGTTTTTCGAACTGATTATGAGATTCAACTTGATCGACCCGTTTGTTTGTTGTGTTACTTGTGTATGATCATCAATTATCGGCAGGAAAATTTTTGATCTTTGATTTGTTAAGCATATTACTGAACCAGGAAATGTGATTTGATGATATGTTTTGGATGATTCTTGTGGAAACCCTGCATAACATTGTTTAGTACCTAGTTTAATATCATGTTTATGCAGGATTGTACACTAGCCACAACACTATTATTAGTTTAGAAAGTGCATTAATATATTGTCATTGTCCGAATCTAACTATCCCAAACTGGAAGATTGATTGAATAGCTTTCCGTTTGAACAGCATGGATGTTAGATTTGGACTCTTATTCCTTTTCGTGGTGGGCACTAGCTGGTCCTGTAATGCTAGAGAATTGGGGAGTTCTGATCTCTTTGCTAAAAAAACTGGGATCTCTGATGCTTCAGGTAGTCTTCGGACTGATTTTATCTTATATGTTCAGTTATAATTTGCATATGCTGGAGAGACAGAAGCTTTTAGTCGTGGGGTCTTGTTGATTACTGACGCAGATTTGTATCTCCTGGAAATGATTATTCTGGGATGATTTGACAAAAAAGTGTTGGTAATACTCTATTTGTATCTTAACTGATATATGCTTTCTCTTTACAGTTTTGCGGTTAAATATCCAGGAGCCAGAAAGCGAAGTTCTAGCTGCAGAAAAAGTTGGGAAGGATAAAGAAGTTTGCACGTTATGTAAAGAGTTAGTTGGTGAGACAGTCCATTACTTTGCTGAAAACCAGACCCAAACAGAGATCATTGACATCCTTCACAAGTCCTGCTCTAAGCTGCTCTGTTTCAAGCAGAAGGTATAACTTTTAGCCAATCCAAAATTTTTTGTTGAAGTCTACTGTTTTTGGTTTGGACAAATTTATTTAGTTTATTGCTTTGTTTTGAGATCCAACAGCGAAATTTTTGTCATGAGCAAATGGGAAAAGTGTGGGCTTGTATATTACTGCAGTTATCTACTGTCCTTCTTGGGGTTGCCTACCCAAAATCATTATGAATTGCATGATATTAGCCATTATTAATTGATGGTTGTTGCATGTTTCAAATTGTATGTTAAGGTCAAAATTGCTGTTGTTTGATGGTTTTATCTTCTTGCCTTGACGTTTGCTATTTATTTCAAATGAGAGATCAGCCTTGGTTTGGATGCTCATTCTTCCTTCACTTGTGGTGTGCACATTGTGATGGTAGATGTGACATGTTTAGCGCTTTCATGTTAAGTACAACTCATACGCTAGTGAGAAACAAAAAATTTTGAACCTTAATGTTAGTTGGTTTGCAGAAGTTGGGATAATTGGGGATATGGTGGCAAGATAGGGTCTCAAATAAGTAAAAAAACTAGATTTTACAAACTTGAAACATGTGTAGAAGCATCAGCAACAACTTGGAGTGGCCCCCTTCAAGTATGTAAACCAACCTTGGGTCTCCTTAATTTTTCAATGTGGAATAGCTCTCTTCACACCCTCCCACACATGGGCTAACAAACTAAGTGAAAGAGACAAACAAAGAGACTGGAGCTGAATCAAAACAGACAGATAAACAAATCAGAGAACGAAATGGGTGAGAAACTTAGCTCACTAACTACCCAAGACCTAACTCTGAGATCATGTTAGAGCATCCAACCCAAATTTAAGTGACAATAGGTGGAGTGGCCTTTCAAAGTACGTAAACTAATCTTTGAGTCTAGTTAATTTTTCAACGTGGATAGCTCTCTTCATACACAGGATGTTTGATTGAGGTACTTGATCCTTCTGGTGCTTAAATCCTGGCATCTTTTGTGACTTCCATCTGAAATTTTTGCTCTGGCAGTGCATCACTCTGGTGGATTAGTATGCTCCTCTTTTTTTCTTGAAGATTTCGTCAATACAACCCGAGGATTTCTGTCAAAAGGTCAACCTCTGTGGACAGATGGTTTCAATTTCTCTACATTACTCCCAGGATACTTGTGGGATTTGTCATCATGCTGTTGCAGAAGCTTTATTCAAGTTGAAAGATCCAGATACCCAGGTATTTCCTTAGATCCTCATTTGATCATTAGAAATAGGTCTTCCACATAGTTTGGTACTCATCTGGAGAAATACATGTTTATTTTTTCTTGCAATTCGTAGTTGTGTATCCTCATCTAATTATTAGAGATGGGTTTTGCACACAGTTTGGTACTCATCAGGAGAAATAAGTTTTTATTTTTTCTTGCGATTATTAACTGTTAATCCATACATCATCTCACCTAAAATCACTATACTGTCTGCTTAGGCTTATGTTTGTATTTTTACCAATGGTTTTATTGGAACGTACTTAATAATCTGGCATTATTTGAAACTCCTTTGGAACACTACTTTGATCTGATGTGCATGTTAATTTTGGATGGTGGTCTCAGATCAAAAAAAAAATTGGATGGTGGTCCAGTTTTCCAAGGTATCCGCTTATGGTTAATATTGATACATAAGGTCAAAAAGCCTATATGTTTTGGTGTTGCATGATATTTGGATATTCGGTAAACCTGAATTGTGAATCTCACAAGACTAGAAATATTGATATTCTTTGCAATGTCCCCAATTTATATGTAGATTTATTTATTGAAAGCTAGGTTCTGATTAGAATCATTTTCTCTTTGGCTTTTCTTCCAGTTAGAGATAATTGAGCTGCTTCTGAAGGCATGTGACGTTGTGGAGGGCTATGCAACAAAGGTTAGAGCATTACACCAACTTATGTTGGAAATTATGAATTCTAGTGCTTCTCTTCGTTTATCAACTTGCCTCTTAGAATATACTCGCGCTATTATTGTTATGTATAATCAAGTCGATCTGTTGCAAGAGTGACCTATACTATTGTTGTGAATCAGAAGAGGGTACTCGATAGATGTCAGGCTTGTCTCAGTCAACAGTCAAGTTGTAAGAGAGTTTTGTCTGTTAGATGCTATATTAGAAACTCTTTCCCTGAGGCCATCTTATTGATATTACTATCCCAAAAAAACTGTTCACAGCCTCGATATCTTCCCCCATTAAATCTCATCCACTTGATGTTGTGAAGGTCTGCACCAAAACTGGAGAACACAGCAATACAATTGTCTTTTTCCCTCAAAACTGTGTTACTATTTGCTGATTTTTCAATTCTTTTGGCAGTGCAAGAATCTGGTTTTTGAATATGGACCAGTGATCCTCGTCAAAGCAGAGCAGTTTCTGGAGACAAATGACATATGCTCTCTGTTGCATGCCTGCAGTTAGTATGTAGCAAAGCATTAACAATGGCAAAAGCATCCATGCCTTTTAGATCTTAGAAAGGACAGCAACGAAAGACCGGATCAATAATGTTGTGATATCAGCAATTGGCATATGTATGTATCCTTTTCCTCCAGTGTGAGCTTCAATGTCATATCCTCCAAGAGTGTTGTACTCACCACTTTTTCTTTTACCTCATTTGTGCACCACCTCAATGTAAATCCCACTATATATCTAATGATTATGGTTATACCAAATTTTGGGCTCTAGCGTTTTTGACTCGGTTAAAACTCTAGATTGCTCTTGATAGATGTTTTGGTGTGTATTGACACCACATCAATAGTTGCATAGTTTACAGACCTACCGGGCAGAGAAGTCGGGGAACCATGCAAACCTTCCCGAGTTCATAACATACTTGAGGGTTGTTCACTTGTTTGTTAGTTTGGGTTCAGTTACACTCACCAGTATATATACATATTAGATACCTATAAAATTTGCTTCAGATGCAATTCACTTGGCCAACACAGGTCAACCAATGCCACACTCCCTCTACCAAGATCGATCTCAGCACCTTTCTTCCATCACTGTCTGCTAGATTGGTGCCTTCCAAGCATGATGAGCTCACTAGAGTCAAAGAAATTAGTAATACCTGGTGTATATTTACAGAAATGTGCATTGGCACAACCCCACAACTGAAGCATGCATTGGTCACATATCCTAATTACACGCCGGTAGAAGCTATAGCCAAAGTGTACATTAAACTTTCACTACATGTGAACAAGGTGGTCACAATCTTTCGAACTTTTCACGGAAATAGAACAAAAATACTTACCAATTTGGTCTTTAAACCATTTTGCCATTTTGCAAGGGTCAATCGCCTATTGATTGTGTTCTTTTTTTGCAGCAATTGATATATAATTATGGTATAAACATAAGTACCACCCTTTCAATGATCTCAAATAGGCTTCTGTCCATAATAAACCATAAAAATGCGCAGCTAAGAGGAAAATTAGCTTATTCTGCCACGATCAATTTTCCATTAGAGGGACCCCCCTCTCCTCGGGAGACCAGTAACAAAAGAAATCTAAAGCTTGTTAACACGGATCTGTTAGCTTGAGTGACTAGCGCATGCATGCCACATATATTGCTATCATGCTAATGGAAGTAGTCTCGCCCATAAAGAAGAGAAGGAAGATAAAATGCATTCAGTTTTCTAAACTCCCCTCTGAAAGAGGCTATTTTCCCCTCGAGTACAGGAGATATATTTAAGTCCCTCATTATTCTATTTCCTTTTTTCAATCATATGACCAAAGTGACTGTACATCTGGGGTCGAATATAGCCCGCCAACAGGGGGCCTTGTGATTGATGAATTTCCGACGCCTTCCCCTGAACCCTTCCCTGTCCAGTCCTTCCTGCCAGAGAAACAAGGGTGAAATGAACACCAGATACCAACTACAAAATAAACAAATACACAAAAAACATAATTGAAGAGTACACCCATTAAAAAAAAGAATCTTTCTTTAAAATATGCAACAGTGTGCTAATATAAAGTCAATTTGTTTAATACTGATGCAAAATAGTCAATTTTTTCACAACAACCATTCTATATTTTCAATGTCTCCAGAATAATATACATTCCCAGTTTATACATAGACTTTTATTTTTAAAATCTCTGTATAGCAAGATATATTCTACAGAAAATTAGAACATCTAATGACTATATAAATCTGAGGTGCAAATGACAAGAATCACAGTAGTGTTCACATTCATCAAGGACATTAGGTGTCAAACAGGGAGTACTTGGAATGGTAAGACATATATTGGACCCTGTGCTGACACAGATGTTGGCGAATCTAACACTATAAATTTAAACCAGAACATCATTGCAAGATAGGGTGAAAAACAGTTGCACCTAGTAGAATGTTCTAAATACAGGTAAACCACTTTGATTTTCTGAAAATACCCTAAAAAACCCCTTTTAATTTTTGTCAAGGCAAAATGTCTTAATTTTACAGTTTTACGCTCATCTTTTTGTAATATCACTTCGTCAAAATGAAAACAATACTTATGCATTTCCTAAATTTATATAAAACTGAAGTAAAAACAAGAATGAAATAAAAAAAAAATATAATATTTTTCAACTATCTAGTCAAAAAGTCAAGAAAATTGGTTTTTTGTCTATTTATTAGTATTTAAATTTGTGTTAATTAAGTTTTTGGATTATGGAAATGCTTTGCTTAGTTTTTTATTTTGATTTTTATATTTGATTCCTAATTAAGTTTTTGAATTATGGAAATGCTTCGCTTAGTTTTTTATTTTGATTTTTATATTCGATTACCTTGGTTTTTATTCCAATTGAGTTGATGAGATCGAGATAGCAACTTTTTTGTTTTTATCTTGTTACATGAGCTAATAATATATATTAAAAGTGTTATTTAGGGAAAAGAATAGTAAATTACATCATTATTTTTATACTGACTCATGATTCCAGGGGTGGTATGTGACATGAACTACCAGAGACTGCAGTGATATTCCCAAACACCAAAGAAGTGTCCCTATAATTAGGCCTAACTTCAAGGGGTGTCACTAGTTTACCCTGTGAATGCTTGTGCGCTGATTCCCACATGCACAAGTATATATCAAGCTTGACGTAATCTGGAGCTGCTGAGCAATGGGTAAGATGAAGTGAGAAGCTGAGATAACATCAAGAATACATCCTTGGTGTGCATGCATGCATAAGGGCATACGGCATCCTAAAGCCAGTTATGCAATGGGGAAGATGAAGCTGACAATTTAAGATTGACAAAATATCCATCCTTTTTGTTTTATCTTTTGTCCCTTTTTCCTTTGGGTTGGGTGAGGTGGGGGAGAGGGGATTTGCCATGGGCATGCAAAAATCATTTGCTCTGGCAAGGGAAAGCCTCTTTTGAAAACTCACCAAACCAAAGGAAACAATAAAAATGCTTCAACAATAGCTAAAGGCATGCAAAAGAATTCTTGTCTTGGCTCACAAGACAAATTAAAAGACATAGCAATCATAATAAAGGCACATTCAGAATCGATGTGCTTACCTGGCCCAAGAATCTGATGGAGACAACTCAAATGGACAGTTAGTTGCAGATCCATTGGGACTTCCATAAATCATTTCATTCTGAGCAGTTTCTTCTTGAGGGCTAAGAGAGAAATGGGTTTCGCTGCCTGACATCAGCCCCAATGAAGATTTTGGCAACCATGTATCTCCAGTAGGATTAGGCACATTACTAAATATTCCCCCATTTGGGTTAGTGTCAATACCAACCTGCTTCGGAGAATGAGTGCCACAAAGCACATGATCATCGTTTTTAAACAGCGAAGCCATAGTTTTCTGAGGTATGGGATGCACAGTATCTTCCTTATTTAATCTATTCATTTCTGGAGGTAGAATCCAGCTTGCTAGGCCATCTACCAAACCAAGAGCATCTTGACCAAGAGGAGAACTATTCCACATCTGCCACACTCCTTTCTCATTTGCATTTTGTGAATCACCCATCGGCAAATTGTGCATATACTGAGCCTTAGAAGTACTTGGGAAAAGAAAAGAACTAGAATGCCTTTCCTCAGGGACCCGCAATCGTGACATTGGAGACTCAATTGGTGATGGCCTCTTGACTTCAGAAGAAGCAGGTATATTCTTTAAAGCATGAGGCTTTTCCAACCCTGTGTCAGGTACAAACCCAAGGTCTAGCTGGAAATTATTAAGTGACTCTGAAACAGGCCCAAGCAATGATACTGGGTCGGGAACATAACATGGATCTTCAAAAATTTCTGACTCTTCTGGTAAAAATTGATGGGTCGTTTCTCCAATTCTAGGAGACATGGATTCAGATGCTAATGGAAGACTTGAAACATTACTTGTTGAACCATATGGAAAAGAGGACAAAATAAGTGGTGACGACAGTCCAAAATTAAGAGGGCTGTCATATGCTTGTGTCAATGGTGGGTGACCAGGAAAGGGGGGGCTCTGAACATCCGCCTGGAGCTTCCCATTTGGTCTACTTATGACATTTGAACTAGCGGGTTGAGTTACTGTTGATGAACGAGTAAATAATTGATGCCATGATTTTTTGGGGGCTGTACACATTTGAGGTTTGATGAGCACCTGTAGTGAAAAAGATCAACTTAAACATATAACAAACCTGAGTTCATCATCCTCTACAAATCATTGCTACACCGTTCTATTGTTCTCGAAAGGCTAAACTTTATGAGTATGGCATCATATAAACGCCTGCTTTCATTTCCATAAGTAAACTTATAGGCAACAATATGACCTAAGATGTCATTCAGAAGAGAATGATGGGCATCATGCCCATTAATATTAATTAGACATCATGCCCATAACCCATTATATCTTTGCTAGGATAACAATAGGCAAAATTAGCTCATATGAAGAACCAAAAGCATAGATTGGCAAAAGTACAAATAGACCAATAAATAGGAAGACAACTTACAGGACGGTTGATGTTCTTTTCAGCAGGCTGCAATTTCCCAGATACACACTCAAGCTGAGATAATTCTCTCCTAATGGCAGAAATTTGGACATGATCTATGGAACCATTAGATCTGTGTTCTCTTGAAACAGTAGCTAAAGTATTCGCACTTTTCTCAAAGAAACCACTTCCAGTAAATGCTCTGGAAGAAGACAAAAAGGTACCCCTCATGCGATCCAGGTATCTAGTTCCAGCATTGCCATGGTTATGACTGTTTGTGGCAGCATCCCTAACCATATGCCCTAATTCTGTGCCATGAGACTTAACACTTTCTGCCCCACTCTGCCTGTTCCGCTCACTTTCCATGCTTGCTTTCCTTTCCAGTTCCTCTGCATCCAAATTGCTTTTACTAGATCCCCTGTCCCTTTCCTTTTTTCTGTCTTGATGCTTCTTTTCCGCTTCCTTTTTACAATACTTTTCCCCAACAGTAGGAGACCCTTTGCCGCGTTCTTTCTCGGCCTCCATCTTTTCATCCCTCAGTCTCCTACGCTCTTCCACCAACCTCGCAACCTCCTCCCTCTGCTTTCTCTCCTCTTCCTCCAATAGCTCTTTCTCTAACCTAGCCTGCCTCTTCTCTTCAGCTTTTCTGCGAGCTTTCTCGGTTCTACTCACATGATAACCTGCCCCATTCTCACCTTGCTTGTCCAGCATTCCTTTGTGCTCGGCATCTGTCAAACCGTCATCTCTTGACAAACTAATCCTAAAAATCTTCCCCCAAAACCACCTAATGCCCAGAAAAAAAGCCGCCAACACATTGCAACCAAAAGTAACAACACGAGAATATGATTTTTCAGTTAAACAATGATCATCCCCACCGAAAAAGACGCCCCCATTCTTCTGCCAATAACTAGTCTTCCCAGCAGAAGACCTACCCACCCAATTCCCATTCTCTAACCAATCTTGCCCGCACATCCAACCATTATCAGACAAAGCCTTCCCATTCAATAACTTCCCACCTTTACCCACCAAATCCTTCAAAATCCCAGAATGGGATAAACCCAAACCTGACGGCACAGGCAAGTCCAAAACCGGGCGCTTTGAAATATGCCCACAATATGCACACATAAACTTCCCCCCGCCTGGACTCTGATCCCGATATGGAGTCAAACAATTCCGGCACCTTCGTGTTGCCGTTTTCCTCAACTTCTGCATTTCAATTGCCTCAAACCTCTTCCTCTCCCTCAATCGAGCATTTCTTCTAACCCGCCAAGCTGACAATTGTGGCATCAAAATCTCATACCAAAACAACGTAACCAACAGCACAAAAACGCAAGCCAACCTCGGTGAAGTGATCTCAAACCTAAAAGCCGGTGGTAATAGTTGAGACAAAGCCCATAGTCCAATCAGTGGAATTACTAACCATGGAAGCATGGTTGCAACCCTTCGAGACAACTTTTGAATCACGCACAGTATACACATTATCCTCTAGTCCACACCTCTATTCCCCGTATTCAAAATCCAATCAATTCACACTGCAAAGTTTCAATACATCTCAACAATCACATCTCTACAATGTCCATATATATATATATACACACACACACACATACGACTCAAAAACAAATTGAAAAACTCTAGCTCCTACGGATCTCTTCTGAATGCGATTACCAACACAATACCTAACGAAGTGTAAAATGACCTAAGTTTCAATGCAATAATCGAATATTAATCACGACGAGATTGAAAGTGATCGACTAGGGTTTCAGACGGATGTCGTTTGGGAGCTCCGAAACTTACTCCAGAAGAAACGAATAATAAATGAAATATGAATAGGAGAAAAGCTTGGAAACTTACAGAATTTGGCATCAATTAGCCTAAATATCGACGATTAGTTTCTGTATCGTCCGAGACGGTGGTCGGAGATAAGGCTCGTGCAAACCGGCGATGATAACGGTGATGATTGAAGAGAGAGAAACATGAAGGAGAAAAAAAAGAGGGAACGTCTAGATCGCTATGTATGTAAGAAATAGTTGAACCGGATGATTGCGGGTTGGACCGGCTGGGTTTGAAGTTTACCGTGTACGTTGGTTGGGTGTTTGGAGGGGAGGCATTGTCCGTTGAGGAGTATTTGAGGATTTGGTCAAGAATGGAATACAGGAGTGGAGTATTCTTAAGCATAACTCATTGTCCGCATTGAATTTTGAGTGAATTTGCACCCATTAATATTTGATAGATTTAAAAATTAGACTTAATAATTTCAATCATTGAACAGGTAGTGAATCCTAATAAATACTGAGACCCACAGTGAAATCAATGATTAAGATTATCAAGTTTATTTTTAAGTCTGCTTTTTAAATTCATGTAGCATTTCTCCTATAAAATTCACATAATAACAATGACAAATTAAGGATGAAATTTATTAATTTAATTCCACCCTTAAAATATTTATTTTTTCTCATTGTACCAACGGACGCAATCATTTAAAAGTAATGTAGCAATGTGGTTTAAAACCAAACTTCTCTTACTTTGTCTAATAGTTTTTTTTTTTAAATCAATGTTATTAGAATCTAATTTACTAATCATCAAATTCATTATAATTTTTGGATTGATCGTCAGTTCTGTCAAAAATTGAAACTTCTTGTTGATTCAATCGTTCTATTGAACTTACATCATTAGGTCAACATATTAAATTAAATTTTTAAATTCAAATAGCATTACTCTTTTTTAATCTTTTGGATAACGTCTTCCCAACAACTAAAAAGCGAAGGTCATTATTAGAAAGTCTTATGATATCCAGATACATATATAGGGTGCACAACCTATCTTATCTCATTTTTGAGCTTGCCCCCCATTAATAGGTTCATTAACTACCCAGTTAAAATTAGTTGTAGTTGTATATTCCATAGTGAAGTCTTTATCCATTATATTCTTTCTTTCTTTTTTTGTTGTTATACGATGTTTAATCTTGTTCGGACTATTCTCTCGAACTCAACGATTAACCACCATAACTTGATGGTAATTAATTTGGGAATATTAATATGCGGAATGTGCATGCTAAAGGACATAGCTAGGAATTCATTGGCATAGTAAGTAAAGAATTAATCAAATTGATTTTATTGAATATGCCTTGTCTATAACCCTTGGCATTATGCTTCTCGTGCATGCATGCATGCATGCACCCACAGTTAATTATTATTGTCCTCGTAATTAACCTTGTGTGAAGTTACCTTCATATACCATCTATATTTTTAATTTTGGGCTACAGTTTCTCATGCAATGGACCTCATCGAAATAATTAATCATCATCAAATAAGTTATTCAAAAAAAAAAAGGGGGGGGGGGGTTGAAAACAACATGGGAAAGGCAAAAGCTCTCTACTCAAAATAGGTTGGCCGTAAAGTATTAGTTGAAAAAAGAAGAGTCAAAAGATTATGTTCAACTAAGAACAGGTCCTCGGGATTTCTTCAAAATAAGATAGATCAGAAGCAACAACCTCTTTTGTTATTGACTTTACAGGGTCGGCCAAACAGTATTGAAAAGAGTCCAAACTTTCAGAATGCCTTATAATTTTAGGTATATTATTAACTCACAAAAAACTTAAATATATTAAATTTTTAGCCATAAAAAAAAAATCCTAAAAAATTAAGTTTAATTAAAATTTTTACTACAATAATTTGGACACATGATTCAAACCATAATATTAGAGATCTAAAAAAAACAAGGAAAAATTTCAGCCACACCCCTTTTAATTTATTATATCTTCAAGAATACTCTCTCTATTTTTTAAATCTTCATTGACGTCCCCTATCAGATTAAAGGTTAATCAAAATACAATTTTACTCTATTGTTCGTGATGTATTTTACCAAAATTTCATTAACACCCCTCTAGATAGATGTTTCTTTAATGAGACCCTTTTTATTTAAATTTTTTTTTACATATTAAAATTTAGGCCGATTAAAATTCAATTTGAGCTAATTAAGATTTATTTTTTTACATATTAAAATTCGAGTTTATTAAAAATTATTTTTTTTACGTATTAAAATTTGACTTGAATCAAATTTTAATCAACTCGCATTGAATTTTAATTGGCCCAAATTTTGATACATAAAAAAATACAAATTTTAATCGACTCAAATTTTAATGCGTAAAAAATAAATTTTAATCAATTTAAATTGAATTGTAGCTGACAAGAATTTTAATAAGTAAAAGAATATAAATTTTAATTGACTCGAAGCAAATTTTAATCAATGCTAACAACTTAGGTAGAGATCAAATTGACTCGAATTTTAATAGTTAAAAAATAAATTTTAATAGTCTCGAATTTTATACGTAAAAAAATAAAATTTAATCAACTCGAATTGAATCGACTTTTAATCGACTCAAATTTTAATATGTAGAAAAAAAATTTAATCTAATTTTATGTACAAAGATTGTTTGAGATTTATGTAGGAACAATTTTGATATATTAGATGAATATATTTTTTGTTAAAAATGGTGACTTAATGGCAGGAGATATTAGTGATATTTAAATATAAATTAGAAATGATGTCTGTGATGTTTTGCATAATAGTGGGCGTGTTCTTAAAGATATGATAAATTATAAGGGATGTGACTAAAATTTTTCAAAAAAACAAAAAATAAACTCAAAAGTCAACTCCACTCTCTGTGGTAAAAATTAAAAACAAAGGTTGAAATCTCTTTCTCAGCAATATTAGCACATATTTCTCGACAATATTAGTGCATTTTTCTTTTGTCCCTCTCTTACATAAAAAATTAAAAATAAATTAATGTTTTTAAAAAATTAATACTAAAAATAAAAAATATTTGATTTAGTGTTTTCGTTTTAAGTCTCAAATTGCCTTAAGTCACCCCTAGTTAATATAGTATTCTGCGTTAGTTCTATCGACATGGGAAGCTTCAACCTCCGATCCTAAAATGAGAGTCGAGCAAATAATAAGAAAGAAAGATATATATTCAAACGATTTCAGATAGACCTGAAATCAAGTTCAAATTTAGCCACAACCGAGCTGATTACTTAGTTTGAAATGCAAAAGCCTACAGGTGGGACTGATTGTCGATTGTTCCGAATTCAAACTTGATTTGAAATATCTCATTTCGTGAACACTAAAAAATACAATCCAAAAATTTGAACAACTAGTTGTAGAATTCACATACAAGATTCAAAATTTAAATTTCCCCATCCTCCTTTGGTTATTAACGAATAAAAAGATACAAGAAATAAAATATAAATTGGTACAAGTTTAAAACAAAAAGGCACATGACAGTCACATATGCCCAAATGCCGTGAGCCCTTGACATGCGCCCTTGTTAGTTTTTAGTTTTTTCGAGCGTATGCGTACACCATAACCCTTTCTTCTTTGAATCTCGACCTTTAACTTCAAAGTTTAATATTATCATCGATACGGGTGTTCATGGGCTAGGCCCGTGAAATTTTTTTTTGGGTCGGGTTTAGGTAGTGTAGGCTCAAGCCCTTATTCAAGTGAGTTATCAGGCGGCCCTGATCGAGCTTCGAGTAAAGATAAGCTACCTAGAGCCCAACCCGTAAGCTTATTGGGCGGACTTGTGGGCGGACTTGCTAGGTGGGTTTTTTTATATACATATTTATTTAAAAATAATGAATATTTTTGTAACTTAATATTTGTGTAAATTATATTTTTGAATCAAAAGTAAATTCAAAATGAATAAAAATAAAATAATAAAATACATCCAATAGAATGAATAAATCTCAACTAAATTGACACTTACTAACTTATATGTGATTTGCGTTAATCTACCATTTAAAACTTATATGTTTAATACATGAAAAAAAATACACTATTTATAATATCTAAAATTTTAAAACTTCAAATTTTGATATTGAGAAACTTATTTTAAAGTTTCAAATTTAATGGTCTAAAACTATAACTTTTTTCCAAAGGAGTGGTGGGTAGGTGGGTTGGGCTTGCGGGCGGGCTCTTGGGTCGGGTAACGGTTTGAGGGCAAACCCAAACCCTCTTTTTAAGGATATTGAGCTCGGAATCGGACTGGCCAACTATTAGGCCTATCGGATTTCGGACTTATTTTTTTTGGGTCGAATAACGAGACCCGTGGATAATCCGACTTATGAACACCCCTAATCATGGATCCTAATATGCTGCTAAATGGATAGATTTGGGTATTCAAAGTTATTATAGAATTGGATGATTTCAGCGATATTAGGATCATAATGCTTCCACCTCTATGGGTTTTGATTGAGATCAAATGCAGTATAGGTTGCTGTAAAATGCATCCTGAGGTATGCAAAAGAACAGAAAACTCAAAGGATAAAGACGTCTATAAAAAAAAACCCATGCACTAATGAAACCCATCAACAAATGCCTCTCTCTCTCTCTCTCTGAGGAGACCTCAATGGATCCATCCTGTATCACATCAAACGTTAGACTAACAATAATTCTTGTAACATGGTGTCGCTTGAAGTATCCGATAATTCCCTTTGGAAGAAGATGATCAAAGGAATCAAATTCCCTACCCCAGTTAAAAAAAACATTGCCAAACTGCACCACAGTTGTAACATCACCTTCTCCTTCCCCTCTATAAATTCTCCCTCTCTAAAACTTAAAATCATACCTCTATAGCGAGTTGAACAAAAAAACTGTCCGGTGATGGCTTCTGATCTGCCATCATTATCACCACCACAGAAAAAACCCTCCCCCACAACCCTCCTGAACTCATATATCGCCGCCACCCGAGTTGGAAAACGCTTCAAACTCACCGAGAGAAACACCACCTTCACAACCGAGCTCTGGGCAGGCACTGCCACGTTCTTGACCATGGCCTACATCCTAGCAGTTAACGCCAGCATCCTCGCTGACTCGGGCTGTACATGCACCGTTTCTGACTGCTTTCAAGTCTGCGTTAGCCCTCCAAACTGCACCCAACTCGTCCAACCCAATGATTCATGCAAATTCCCTCCGGTTGGAGATATAGCAGTAGCCTAATTTAGTAGGACTTGTTACTGCCTAATTTATTAGGACTTATTAAGTTTTTTCTTTTGACCTTTTTCACTTACCTTTATTCCAAGTTGGTATCAGAGTCATACCCTAACCCTAACCTCATC